TCTTTGCCGGGCATTCTCTTAGGCTAGTATGCCATACATTGCCGCATCTTGGACACCTTTTTGCTGAAGAACTATTAGTAGCATGATTTGCTTGCACTTTGGAAATACTGCCGTGACAAATATTATCTTCGGTCATTGCGGCTTCTTCTGCTTCGCATAATCTAACTATATCTTCAACTTCTGCGTTGTCTGGCAATTTTCTACATTTTTTTCGTATATTGGGATCATATAGAGATTCTATAATATGATCTGCCAGACAACGAGCATAACAATGTGAACAGGGATCGGTTAACTGAAATAATTTAACTTTTTGTCTGTAAAACGTTGTAAAGGGTTCCCCTTGTTCTTGTTTTTTTAACATAAACTGGCTTCTTCTTAGACGGCTATTTTCTTTCTTTTTAAAATATGATTCTAATTTACTTAACATATCATTCATAGTTATGTTTTGAGCCATATCGATTCAAATTACAAGTCTTACGACGTCGGATATTTCTTGGTCGAAGAACGATTCAAGAAGTGCCAATAGCTGCTTTTCAGGTGCGGAACTTACATCTTGAAACACTAAATAGTTCTCGAATCTTCTTCTCCAATCTTTGAACTGGGAATAGGTCAACGAATCTACAATTTTTTCGGGGCTGGGAATAGCGCTTGATAAGCGAATGGCACTTTGATTCGAGGAAGATGTACTCACGTTTATATTTTCAATTTCAGATTGTGTCTTTTTCTTGAAGTTTTCATCTTCGTTTTGGGGAAGTAACTTCTCAATTAAATTTCGCATTGTAAAACATTGCTGTTCGAAATTATTTTCTATTCTGGACAAAGCATCTTGAGTGTCTTTTTTTAAAGTATTACTATTGTCTTTTGTTGACGATAGTGTTTGTTCAAGAGAACCAAACCTATTGTTAAAGGCATCCTCTTTTTCTTCGGCTAATGCCTTTGATTTTGGGGTTTTCTTTGGCATCTGCTCTTAGCACCGTTTTTTTTTTTTTAAATAAAAATGTTCTTAGTACTTATGCGTAGATCTTTACAGTATATATATTTCTTTATGACTGCGCCATGAAGTAATTGTTTAATATAAAACTCGTTTATTTTCTAGTTATGACAACTTCATACAAATTAATGACAAACCTTCCCTATAGCTCTAGGAGTAGGTATATAGTATACACATATCACCACAGTATGCAAATGCGTTTACCTCGAGAATGGGGAACTATTATTTTACATTTCCAACTATCATTTGTTCAGGCTTTACAAACAGTATCGTGGCTATCAAACCATGTTTCATCCAAGTAATAGATGTGCCTTCCTTCATTGCGATACTTCCAAATGTTCGATATATATTCGTTTCTTCACTTTACCAAACGACTAGATTCCATTATTGTTTGTCTTTTATTTACTATTTATATCTAAAACCATGTTTATTAAAAATCTTCCAAGTGTTCTAACATAACATACCTCGAGGACATGTTTCTTTTTAAATTCTGCTAGAATCCTCCAAGATTTGGCATGATGTTTAGTGTGTACATACTGTAGATTGTTTCACATATTGGCGCTAACTGATGTGAATTGATTCTTATGGAATTGCCTGAATTTCTTTTTCGTCTCCTTGCCGGACCTAGTTTTATGATTTTGTATACTGTAGCCTGAGAAGTATTTGTTAGAAACACTGTTTCCTGGTTAGTATCTTTTTGGGGCATTCCTCCAAAGCTGGTTAAAAACAGTTAAAATAACATTTTTAACGTCTTCTGATAAATGTTGCCTTTTGAGTTTAACTGTGTGACCTATATTTTGCGAAATAGATTCTGGTAGAACATCTACCCAATCTGCTAACTTGTTGATGGTTGATCTTCTTGCCATGGTCGCCACATATCGTACGATTCAAAAACCTTCTAACTTGAATCTTGCAGAATACAAATATACTTCTGATTGAAATTAATTTACAATTTCACTGTAGAAAAACTCAAAAAAAGAGTGCCGAGCTTACTGATATATCAAGTCTGGTAATTAACGTGGACTGGTTTATTAAATTTTAATACAGTGAGCGTATTTTATAAAATAGTCGTCACCACAAAAGTAAGTGTGATAAGAATATGCCTATTAGCATTAAAGCAAAAAAGTTCGAAATTTTTTAGACCAAGACGGAATCGGAATGCGGTTTTTTTGCATTAGCTTTCAAACATTTTTTGGAAAAAAGGCCCCTACTTTTTATCTCATACAAACTGGAAATTGCATTGCTGCAACCAAAAATGCATTTTTTGAGACGGCTTTTGGAAGATTAACGAACTTTGTAAATAAGAATCAGAACCGGCCCAAATCGGGTTTCCGCGAGTTTTCGAGGTCACTGAACACGATTATGATGTTTAAATTGACCCACAGCCGACTTGGAGCTCAGGAACGCCGATGAACGTCATCTCCGTGGGGCTCTTCCGAAAGTTACGCGGGGAAGGAGAGAAACTCGGCGCCCGGAGTTTTTCGGGTCGCTGAATTGAAATATGGCATCGGCGAACAACCCTCGGACACCTGGTGTGCCGAATCCTGGACGTGGACGTCATCCCCGAGAAATTTCCTGACAAGATCGCCAAAAACAACCCGAAAATCATTGTGGGGGCGTGTTTTGGGGCGCTGAACTCAAATTTCACGTCGATAACGACCCCCTGAACACCTGGTGCCTCGGAACCTGGACGCGGTCCTCATCTCCGTGAGTTTTCCTCACACAATAGATAAAAACGAACCGAAAATCGTTATGGTGGTTTCATTGGGATGCTGAATTCAAATGTGGCATCGGCGAACACTCCTCGGACACCTGGTGCGCCCAAACCTGGATGTTGACGTCATGCCCGAGAATTTTCCTGACAAAATCGCCAAAAACAACCCGAAAATCATTGTAGGGGCTTGTTTTTGTGCGCTTAATCCAAATTTCACGTCGAAAAGGATCCCCCGAACACCTATTGCACCGGAATCTGGCCCTGAACGTCGCCTCCGAGGGTTTTCCTCACACAATCAAAGAAGACAAACCCATAATCGTTATGGGGTTTTTTTGGGGCGCTGAAATCAAATTTTACGTCGAAAATGACAATCCCAGCACCTGGTGCACCGGAACCTCGGGCTGAACGTTGTTTCCGATGGTTTTCCAGACACGATCGCAAACGACTAACCGATAATCGTCTCATAATTTCACACATTCATTGATGTGTAACTATCGCCTGGGGCCCTCGAGAAAGTTGATCCAGTCCTGTAAAATTCTAAATGCCGGGTTTGAGTAGAGCGAGGAAAATTACGAGAATAATCTCCGGCTAGATCTCCGGACTTTGCCGAGCGGCCTTTCGCTTTTCTCCCAACGCTCGAAACGCTTTTGTGTAAGTATACACAGAAACTTTCTCCTAAGTCCAGGCCCCGCCCACCAACGTCCAGGTTCGGGCGCACCAGGTATCCGCCACATTTGAATTCAGCGACCCAAAAACCCCTGGGCTCCTTTCCCTCGTGAATTTTGGGAGAGTCCCACGGAGATGACGTTTAGGGCCAGGTTGGAGGGGCCGTTTTCGACGGGAAATTCGAATTCAGCGCCCCCAAAAAAACCCATAATCTTTCGGTTCGCCTTTTTCGATTGTGTGAGGAAAACCCACGGAGATGAGTTCCGCGTCCACGTTCCGGTGCACCAGGTGTTTACGGGATCGTTTTTGACGTAGAATTTGGATTCAGCGCCCCAAAAAACTCCCCCGCATTGATTTTCTGGTTATTTTTGGCGATCTTGTCAGGAAAATTCTCGGGAATGACGTCCAGGTTACGGCATACCAGGTGCCCGGGGGGGTTTTCGCCGATGCCATATTTGAATTCAACGACTCAAAAAACCCCCGGGCGCCGAGTTTATCTCCTTCCCCGCGTGAATTTCGGGAGAGTCCCACGGATATGACGTTCATTGGTGTTCCTGAGCTCCAGGTCGGCTGTGGGTCAATTTGAACATCATAATCGTGATCAGCGACCTCGAAATCCCCCGGGAACTCGATTTGGGCCAGTTCTGACTCTTATTTACAAAGTTCTATAATCTTCCAAAAGCCGTCTCAAAAAATGCATTTTCGGCAGCAGCAATGCAATTTGCGGTTTCTATAAGATAAAAAGTAGGGACATTTTTTCAAAAAAAAATTCGAAAGCGAATGCAAAAAACCGCATTCCAATCCGTCTTAGTCTAAAAGAATCCGAACTTTTGACCTTTTTAGTGCTTCATTGCCTATATTTAGAAAAAAGTTGTTAAAGTTTTTTTTTTAGTGGTATAAATAAATACGTAACTTCTTTTTCTGAGAATTATAGATTATAGATATAAAGATTGAGAATTTTTCTTTGGAAAATATAAATTATTACTAGGCATTTTTCATTTTGTACTGAAAATTAGATATTATCTATAATGCGGACCTGAATAATTTCTTTCCAGTGTAAAGAAGTACTTACTTATCTTTAAGCTGCTGATAACCATTCTCTTATATCTCGACCGGAATAATTCCTATATATTTCGAACAATAAAAACGGTAGACAAAAGTAGTTTTGCCCGATTTGACAAATCAGAATATTTCCCGCAATTCGATACATTTTACATCCTTTAATACACTTCCTTGAAAAACCAAAACATCCTCTTGTAGCAAACCATTATCCAAAACTACTGTATATCACAGTCAATTTAGTTAAAAAAACATTGATAAGCTAATGGAAGTGATAATTTTGAGTACCTAGATAGACAAGATCGCAGTTTTGTTGATGTCTTATTTTATACCATAAAATATAGGAATACATATCCTAGGTTTTTAAGGTTCTTACACACCTTATTGCAATTTGTGGTTTTGATATTCTTGAAGTTGTACTTTTAACATACTAGTTTTTATTTTAATTCAAACACATATATCTCAAGAAGACCAAAACCAGAAAATTAATATGGTTTTGTTTATCACTAAAAATCACCTACAATTTCATAAAAAAATATATATCTTTAACCAAGTATTTTTTTTTTTCAGCTTGTTATGGTATTGTTACTGTTCCCACTGGTCCGTGGTATTGTCGTAAATGCGAAAGTCAAGAGCGGTCTGTAAAAGTGGTGAGTTATTCCAAAGACACAATTAAAATTTTATGTTTTAAGTAATCAGTTTCGCGTTTTATGAAATAAGGAACATTTTAAATACTAAATTAAAAAAAATGTTCTGAAAGAAAGACAAAAATAAATAATAAATATCAAATCCAAATATTCGAAATAATTCGAATATTAACACTTCAAAACATTTTACCGGGGTTCAACTAAAAGTCAACACAACCTTGTTCATTTAAAAAAAAATTAAGTATATTTTGATTTGACAGACATGCATTTCCGCAGATTTTTAGTAATTTTAATTTTTTATGTAATAATTTGGTAGCTTAATTTTATCTTCCAGGCAAAACTGTCAAGTTTAGTAAAACAAATATTAGTACTTATTTGATACCAATAAATTATAAATAGATTACATTTATATTATATATTCTAACAAGACGGAATAATAAAATATTTTAAACCAGAATATAATTATTCTTTTTTTATATACAGTGTGGAAACACTTATGGAATAACATTATTTTTCTAATTTTGACATTTAAAGTAACATTTTTTGTAATCGCAGCAAGTGTCAAAATGATCTACTTTACGCAACCAGTTGCATAATGTTGAACATTATGAAACTGGTTTCGAAAAATCATTATGTCACCAGCTACAAAAAGAAAAGAAATAAAAATAAACCTTTTTTGGTTTTAAAATCAATAATATATATGATTATTGAAAGTTTATATCAAAGAAGGACTGGTTGACTTATAAAAATAGAATTTGGTTTAACTTACAACCTAGTAATAATATTGTTTTGGTCCTTATTTTCCATTCTAAATCAGCACAAAATAATTAAAACACAATATACGACAAAATAACCCAATTTTTTGAAAACTAAATAACTTTAATGAGCCATATAAACACACTATAAGTCGTAGATGTTACTCGTTCATGTTGCGGGACCTCGCTCTGCTCGTCCCGCAAATATTCACTCGTTACATAAAATAAGGTATTTTGTAATTGGTTTCATAAACAGCTATTTTGGTCCTATTTTAGAAAATTATATAAAACACTGGGACATGTCAACTTTTAAACTAAATTGTACGTTCTCCGAACCAAAGTATAAATATACAGGGTGATTCACGTAAGTCTAGCATTGTCGGTACTTATTTTTCAATGGAACACCCTGTATTATTTTATATTTTTAAAAGCTCCTTAATAAGCTGACTTCAAAGAACTAACATTTATGGTCTATAGTAGGTGTCGGAAATTCGCGGCCCGCATATGGCCCGCCATAAATTTTTGTACCAAGTAATAACAAATAATTACATTAAGATAGAATCTGAAAAACGCTGAAAGTGCAGGACACGATGACCGATGACAATATTTATAAAACATTATAAGGATCTTTGTATCGCAAACAGTGGCTGATTTTAATGAATTCCCAAATATTTAGGTCTTAAAAAATGGCGGCTCGTGATAATTTAAAAAGGGCGTTTTCTTGTTTCCAATAATTTTATCGTTTGTAAGTTCAGTTCAAAACTTTGTACTGTTTTTTTATTTGGGTTTATATTAAGTGTAGTTATTATCAATATCATACTATTTGCAAGCACAACTATTAATGAATATTTTAGTTATTTTAACATTTGTTTAGTTTTTAATACCTTGAAAACCATTTATAAACATTATTAGTTATAGTCAGCTGACTTTTCTTCATATTTTGAGATTATTTTTAAATATATATCAGGTTATGTACAAAGCTTGACATTGGTTTTTGTGTAAAAAATATATGAAACTTTACCTACCGTTTTTCGGTTTTTATTGTAAATTTAATCATTTCACACAATTTTTCACACTTGTCAAATAAAATAATATATTCTTTAAATACCTTTTATTGGCAAATAACCCAAATGAACTAAAATGTGTATTTTATAAGATCAGTTCCATCACAATACATAACAATACCCAGATACAAAACTAGAATGAAGATATATAATGAGTAGCATTCTAAATTATACTCTTCACAGTTTAACAAACCCCCTTAATTCCCATTTTCAATCAGATTTCTTCATAATCAATAGGCTTCATCCCCTTATTGAGCTTGATTTTTTCCAAAAATTTCAAGTTGATATTATTGTGAGTTAGAATTTTTAAATATTTCAACCTCCCTAAACCACCCCCAACTTTTATTAAAAAAATTTTCACAATCAGTAGGCCTCATCTCCTTATAAAGCTTGATTTTTACTAAAAATTTCATGTTTATTTCGCTTTTCATTTTTGATTTGATTTTTTTTTTTAATTTCAACCTCTTCTAAACCGCCATTTTTAATCATATTTTTTTCAAAATCAAAGGGCGTCTTCTCCTTAAAGAGCTTGATGTTTGCTAAAAATTTCATGTTGATATCGCTTCTTGTTTTTCGTTTTATTTTAGGATTTTTTTTTTTTTTTTTAATAAAACCCGTCTTAACCCCCTATTTTTAATCAGATTTTTTTCAAAATTAATACGCTTGGTCCCCTTGTAGAACTTGTTTTCTGCTTAAAATTTTCAAGTTGATATCATTTTTCGTTTTTGACTTATCAAGCAGACAAAAAACGTGATATCAGACAAAGTAAACCTATAATACTCTTCACAGACTACTGTGTGAAGAGTATAATAATAATATAATCAAGGCTAAAACAATAACATAATAGACTAAAAAATAGGTACAATAAAGAAATGATAAAGTCAAAGTTTTGAAAATTATTTAATGGGCAGTCATTCTAGTTTTAAGTAGAGCAGACTGAATGTTGTTTGGACACTTGTGTTCCATATTTACATATATGTATCAATTATATTTCAACAAAAAATTGTCACAATATTACTATATTGTTTACTAATAATTAACTATGAAAACTATTTTTTAATATACATGACTTGTTAGTTTTGGTAACATATTTCTATGTTCTGATAACAATTTTTCTGTGACATAGTGTCATATACCTCCCAACATTCCTCTATAAATAGTACGACATAATTCAGTTTACTTCTCAGGTACTGATATCGATAAATATTTAATTTAGTCTTCATGATATAGATACATACCTAACATAGACACAACTATTTAGTTTCTTGAATTAATTTAGCCAAGTGCAATATTTATGTTTTATATCGTCTATAAAAAAACTGTAATGTAAGTTTAGCTTCCATTTTTTTTGAATGCATGCGACACCATCATTCCAGTTAAATCCTCACCGCAACATCAGTCTGACACTGTTTATCAGTACCTCTAGCATTTATAGATAGGACATAATTCTATAACTTCAAATTCATTAGGGACAACCTACAAAATAAAACAATTATTCATACAAAATTGTACTAGGGTCAAGAAATTATCCTTGTTCAAATAAAATATATAATAAAATTGTCATAGTTGTGAAATACCTTCTGGTACAATGTACAATGATTTTTCTTGGCTGGCAACTGCAATCTAAGATCTGTTTAAAGTTAGGCAGTTTATATAATTGCCATAAGACCCATTTCTTGATGGAACTCAGTCATCGCTTAATTTTGATGGTTATCCTATAAAAGAGTATCGATTACATTGTATCAATTTACAGTGTTTTGTTTTAGAGTTGGGTAGAAACTGCAACAAAACATAAACATAACCTCAAAAATAATAGTAAATATTTTACTTGGAGCTTGGAGACGTGTTTTGCTAACAATCATTGAATTAACACACATACTTCCGATTTATTAAATTCGCAGTTTTATTTAAACACGGTTTTTAAATAAACACAATTAAAATTGTGTTATGGTGAATTTTAGAGTTTGACAGATTGATGGGAAACATCAAGATAAAATAATGCAGAGAGAGGACATAAACACTATTTTGCGATATGACAAGAGAACGCACTTTGGGTCGTATTTTGATTAATTTGAGGTTAATAATTTTATATTTGAAGATTGAATGAAAATATTTTTATATCATTTAAATCATGCCATTTAAAAAAATGGTATTTATTCTCACTAAAACTGATTTAACCCCACTTGCTCGAGTTTGACATAAGACGTAAAACTGTGCGGACACTTTCTCATCTCTTTATTTTATATCAATAATTGGAAAGTTTGTATGCTTCTCCCTACTTTGTGACGCCACTGTGTGCGTTGCGCAAATTAAGCAGATTTAAGTGATTTTATGTTTGTTTCACTTACGTTTCACGGATCTATTAACGTGTGACATCTCTTTTTAGCTAAATACTTCCGAGAATACATCTCACTCCTTTGGGCTCACTTATAAAAGAGCGCCACGGAAACGCAATTAGCCAGATCGCAATGGCGTACCCAAAAATAGATACTAACACATATGAAAACAATAAAATTATTAAAATTGAATAAATATATGTATGTTATTTATTTTAAAATAATGTAACTGGGTGTTCACTGCACAAATGAACCAATGGAGAAACCACCTCTGGTCTTAAGTATATATTGGGACAATATAAATTTCAATTTCAGGATTAGGCTTTTTTTCGAGTTCATTAATAACAGTCTGAATGCTGCGAAACGACCTCTACAGTGGCGGCTCGTGGGGTGGTTCACAGTGACAGAATATAGGTATCAGTACAGATGTATGAAAAAACTTTCAGTGTTTTAGAAAGTTTATAATATACCTTTCTAAAACACTGACAGTTTTTTACCTATATCTGAACCGAGATCTATATTCTGCTACTGTGAACTCCCAAAATTATGGTCACGAGCCGCCCCTGGGCCTCTACCAAGTATAATGTAGTTAAAGATGCAGTAGATATTCGAAAACTACAAGAAATTGGTTTGTTAGTCACAACGTAACTGTTCTTTCTTAGCCGTTTCTGATCATAATGTAATTGAAACAGTATTCTACAAAATGAAACATATCAAATAATAAGCCAAAATGGACATTACCAGAACTTAAAGCCAAAACAGAGCAGATTTGAAATGGATTTTCCCCTGAAAAGATTAGTGCAGATCCTTAGTTGATTCAAGACCCAACCAAAGAAAATGATAAAATTTTCATAATGATGCCACCTAATTATGTTTTTTTTTTTTTGGACTGTGCGGATATTTTGTTTGAAAGTGGCCCACTATCCTAAAGAGGCTGCCGAACCCTGCTCTATATGAATAATACAGAGTGAACTTTTGAAATTATTTATCATTTCCTTTATGAAAGTAAATACATAAAATACTTGATTTATTTGATAAAAGTAAATGCTCAAAATGTTCTCCACCTAATTCTTGACAATGACCCAATCTGTTATAAACCTCCTGCCTAACATTACTTAAAATTTGAAGTGAAATATTCCTTATTTTTGTTGTTATCTTTTCTCTGAGATATGCAATGCTAGTTGACTGGGTTGTGTATACTTTATTCTTTAGATTACGCCACAGAAAAAAATTCAATGGCGTAAGATCTGGTTCCAATCCATTTATTGGGAAATATTTCGTTTAGGTAAGCTCCGTCCTGTTGGAACCAAACATTTTAATTGGACATTCTCCAATCTCTTGCATTTGCCAAAACAGGAACTACCAACAACGTCGTCTCTAATCATATTTTAATATCTTTAGGCTGTCAACCTTCTATAAAAATCGGATCAATAATCACCTGATACCAGCTCAAACGTTATTTTTTTGACGATATTCTAAGTTTAGCTGGTTTACTTACCCGTTTAATGTGATAGTTGACTCACCTGAAAAAAGAATGGTATCAAGATTATTTCATTTATGTGTCCAGTGTATTCATCAACATTCGCAGAACTCCATTCTACAATCAGGATCATCTTCTGTTATCTCCTGAGTAAAAGTTATTTTATATGCATGAAATTTTTCTTTATGGAGATACCTTAAAACAATTGCATGACTGACGTTACTTTGACGGGCAATTTGATGTGTATTTGATGTAGGATTCTCTTGAACACTTAACAATATATCCACTTTTACATCTTCTACGAAGTGCGGATTTTTGTATGGTTTGAAATGTCCAAGTTCTATGAATTGTGCATGAATTTTAGACGCAGTACCTTGTGTAATATTATGTAATTGATTATATTTCTGATTAAATGGGTTTGCCACTTCCGTTTGACTTCTGCAATCATCCCCATGACTAATCACCATTAATATTTTAAATCAATGAGCAGACTGCTAGACTTACATGAATCGCCCTGTATATTTATATTTTCGTTAGTACAATTTAGTTTAAAAGTTGACTTGTCTCAGCGTTTTTATAATTTGCTATAAGACCAAAAATAATTTTATTAATAGTGACATTTTTTGAGTTGTGATGGTATTGCAAAACTATTTATTTTTCTTTCGTGATACATTCCGCTGTTGAAGAAATAATAGTCCTTATTTAGTTATGTACTAATTTAGTTGCTAGAGGCACTAATAATAACTATTTTTGTATCTTTAAACTTTTCATATTTTTCAATAAAGTTTAATTTTTCCGTTTTGCTTAAGATCAAGATCATCAAGATTGCTGCATCAATAGCACAACTCCACAAATAAAATGTATATACCTAATATTTTTTTTAAACCATTTACAGCTCATAATCAGTGCTTTATTTGTGTTATCATAGTAATAAAAAATTTAATAGTATATTATTAAACGAGCAATTTATGGTAGCCATTATTCACGCAGGGTAACGTTTGCGTCTCGAGCCGTAGGCGAGGGGCGCAAGTCACCCGAGTGAATAATTGCCATAAATTGCGAGTCTAATACTATACTTTGTCCACAACCATTATGGTTTCTTTATTAAATAAAAGTTAATTGTAGAATGGAAAGTTTTTATTAAACATAGGTAACTAACTGTTGTTTTTTCTACTTTTCAATTTTTCGATTTTCAATTTTCGATTTTTCTATTTTTTGATTTATCGATTTTTTGATTTTTCGATCTAGAAAATATCGTTATGAAAAGTATCGCCTATCTTTAGTTATCTACCGGAATGTGCCAGAATTACAAAAGCGTGAATTATCATAATTCACTCCGTGATATATGGGTACTATATGCTCTTAGTTAAGAGGTAGAATATTGATTTATTATTAAGTGGTCGTGGACAAACTGATTTATCTGAAAACTGATTGTTTTAGTTGTGTTATTGTTGATGTCCATAAGTGATATATCATTGTTAAGTGGGAAAACTCTTTAATAATTATTATAAAATTACAAAATATCTGCCCTGAAGTGTCTTTCTAATTGACAGTTCTTATTGCATAAAACTTACTGCTTTTTGTACAAAACTTACTACTTATTGCATAAAATTTTAATTGTGTCACAGTCTTAAAACACTGTTTTAAGATTTTTTTTATTTATATTGTAAAATTTCTACCATAAATTATTTTTATAAAAGATTTTCTAAATAAAAGGATGATTTACAAAAAAGGACGTTTAAAACTTTTTAGAAATGCGAGCTGTGTCCCAGCAAATATGGAGCTCTCAAACGTACCGACAATTCCGGTTGGGCGCATGTCGTTTGTGCTTTATATATTCCAGAAGTTCGATTTGGGAATGTCACCACTATGGAACCTATTCAATTGCAATTGATTCCTGCAGAGAGATTTAATAAGGTAAATATTGTAAAAAATATGCGTGGATGTTGATGGGACGTGAGATTAAAAAAAATAACATTGAAAGATCCATTTTCCAATGGCGGCTCTTTAGGGGTAGCAGGGTGGTCAGTACCTACCCAAAAATAACTACCCACTATTCACATATATCTCAATGTCTAATGAACATTTTAGGTACCTAATATCCAATTATATTTTACTTTTTATTCATTGTTAAAGATGTCCGAATTAATGGTTTACAACCTGTCTACATTACCTAATAAACGTACTATAGTCATTGCAATGAAATTTACGTTGCACGTCATACGATGAAAATTGGTTATCGGATTGAGTAGATAAATCATTTGTTACTTTTTAAGATTGAAGTGGGCAATTGGTATTTATATGCAACGGACAGTTGCCAAATCAATATTTATTTTTATGGCATGTATAATTGAACTGTCAATAGTATTTTTTTGTTTAATAATCAAATTTATTTTTAAAATGCCTAAGCATTTAAATAGCCGTGCGAGAGAATTAGTGGGACCTCTAATAAGATATTTTAAAGAAGAAGGATATAATGGTGGCCCTTTATTACCAATAAATGCAGTCAGAGAGCGTGTAGCAGCGGCGTTTAATTTAAATAGTTCGACGGTAAACTCAATTTTCCAGGAATTGGAGAATAACCATATTTTAAATTCTCCAAAAAGGCGACCACATCCCAAATCTGTAACAGAAATTTTCAATTCTGACTACAACTAACTTTTGCAAAATTACATGAAACTTTACCGTAAAGAGAAATGTTTACGGATTGCAAAAGATCATTGTATACAGTGTTAACCAATATAGGAGTGGGGTTTTATGGAACTTCTTGTTGCCAGAAATAAACCACCGAAAATGTATAAAGTAGGTCAACTTGCAGAACAATATGGCCATACAGTTATTCGGTTACCTACTTATCATTGTACATTTAAGATAATTGAAATGATATGGGGTATTGACAAGAATTATTATAATCGGTATATTGATAGGGATTGGATGTGATTGTCGCACTGGCCTACGGCTCATGCGACAATATTCAAATTCGTCACAAAAGAGTAACTTTACACACTTGTTGCATAAATAACTATTATAGGATGAAAATGAAAATATTTCTCAGAAGTGCCTCTATTTTCGCTCTGTAGTTGTATTATTATTAAATGTTCTATAATAGTTGTTATGTAACCGTTCTTAGAACTAAAGGTCACACTTTAGCTAAATTTTACATTAAAAATAATCCCATTTTCCCCTTAAATACTTTAGTAGTTCAATCTCACGTCCCGTCAAAGGATCGTCGGACAACGGTAATATGAATATCCCAGGAGAAAATAATTAAGTATTTTCTCCAAGGTCATTCAAGCCCGATTTAAACCCGTAAAATATATTTCTTCAAATCCCTATTTGTTTTTTTAATGTAGATTTGCTACATATGTGAAGAAAAAGGTAAACCTTCTAATGCAAACGTAGGTGCTTGCATGCAATGCAATAAAATTGGTTGTAAGCAACAATTTCACGTAACTTGTGCTCAAGGATTGGGCTTGCTCTGCGAAGAAGCAGGGAACTATTTGGACAACGTCAAATATTGTGGCTATTGCCAGTATCATTACAGCAAACTGGTAAGTCCCATTTTCAAATATTCGTACAAGGTGAGTCTAGAGAATAATAATGGTCGGTATTTTCACCTTCAGATAAAGTTCCAGGTAACTAACTAACTAATGGATATATTATCCAAGAGTTACTATCTAACAGATAATTAGGTCAAGAGGAATAATCTGTACGGTAGTTATTCGGTCCTTTGTAACGTTCTGTGGTTATATAGCTACCTTCATATCAATGTATTCACTTCTATTATCGTTATTTCGTTTTGTCACTTATTTGAAAGAAGTTTTTGTATTTCTCTGAAATTGTTTATTATTTAAAATGCCTAATAGTTTTTGTAAAGTATATTTGTTTTAAAACACATTATGCAGATGTAATGCCAGGTCATAACGAATTATTTTACACATTATCATCATCATCATCATCATCGTCATCTAATAAATTTCAAAAGTAATTCAAAATTTCATTTTAAACTATTTTTACCTGTTAATTTGACTCCAAATCTTTTATGGAATGATTCTGCACCCAATAATTAAACTGATTTATTGCATAAAGGTCAAGTAGTATAACATCAATATCTTCGACAATGTCTATAATAGCAAATAAACTATATTTATGATGAATACCCATAAAATACCTTGACAATAATATGTTGACATTGGGGTCGTTTCATATCAAATCTTCCAAAATAAAAAATGGTAAGGCTGACCATCTCACCGATTTTGATAAAATTTTGTACACTGATTCTCTAGATATGGGTGGGTTGAAAAATCAAAAATATTTTTTTTCCAATCAGTAGTTTTTTTCTATTTATTTTCAGAAATCGAAAACTTGACCAATTTTGGTCAAACACAACTTCACAAAAATTAATTAGAATATCCTGATAACTACTTATCGTAGATCAATAAGATATAGCTCGTTGTAAAGGTAATTCAAACACCATTCCAACGATGTGTCACATGGCTTATTTTATTTTCAACTGTTTTTTTTTTTTGTAATTTTGAAAAAAACATTTTTGGATTTGAAAAAAAAATTTTTAATGCTTTTGCCAAAATATTTGCCAAATTTCAAAATGGAGAAATCATGGGTTCAGTATGAAAAAAAAAAAAAATGCATGTGAAAATTTAATTAAAAAGTGAAAATTATGAACATTTTTGGCCTTATTTTTGTAATTTCTTCCCTAGTTAAAATATATGTCTGGCCAGTAGCAGTACGAGGCTGAACTTTCCTTAATATAGTATATTTATTATCAGTAGATCTGCTTTAGGCTTAGGGTAGAAAAATGAACTAGTTGGTCCATTTGGATGCAAAAAACTGATTTTGAGTACATCAGTTTCCTCATTTTTTCCAGTAATACATGCCAACCACCATAATTTGTAGTATTCAACAGGTCTTTGCAAACTAGCCCTGGTAGCCAACCGTTCTACTGTCTCACCGAGCCCGTCGCAAGCACTCTTGCCGTGGGGCGAAGCAAAAAAGTGCCATTCAACCTTTACTCCAAATCCTTCCTCATAATAACACAGATTAGTAAAAAAAAAAATTATTTTTATATTGAGCTACGCACCCGTTAGAAAAATTGAAAATCTTTGTAAGGTTCTTGATTTTATTTTTAAGCTCAGGTATTAAATCCTTTGAAAACAAATGAAAAACTATTGTGTTATGGTTTAAGCAATCTGAAATGTAAACATAATTCAAATGCTTTATTTCATCGTTTTCATCTTTGTAATATATTACAAATGAATGAAGTGTTGCGTGGTATGATTCGACCTCATCCTGTAAGAAAAAAGAATAATTTTCGGCAAAATCACTAGTGATAAGTGCTTCTCCCATCATTAAATTTGTTTTAGTCTGATTGTAAAAATCTTTTTGCATAATGGAAATAAACGGGTGTGTTTTTAGTTTAACTAAATCTTGCACACATTCCTCGAGAAAATCTTCAGTGGGTTTAATAATAGTCTCCATGTTACAGCGATCCACATAAACCCACTTCTTGTATTTAACATTATCAATAAAAAATTCATCAAACTTTTCCATTAAAATTTCTTTTAGAATTTCAGTTCCAGGACAAGTTTCACATTTACTGAGGTAACAATCTACGCTTGCTGGATTGCACATTATTTTTGCCAAACATGCTTGGTAGTCTGGAAACATCGCTTTCTTACACCCGTATGCATAGTCGATCGCCAGAGATTCATCTCGGCGGTATCACCAGCAAGTCGCCACCTTTTTGCCATAACAAATATAGAAGCGTGTGTGCAGTTTTTAGCGGCGATGTCTGTGCATCAGAATTATTGTCTAGTAAACGTTGAAATTCTGGAGACTCCATGGCTTTCGCCAGCAGATCGCTGGTGATACCGCCGAGATGAATCTCTGGCGATCGACTATGCATACGGGTGTTAGTGTCATCAATGTCGAATTTATCAATTTTGGAACCACTCATTATCAATTTAATATTTTGATGGATGAGGCAAACGCACATTGAATGTGTGCCACTTTTTCCGGCAAAAATGCAGTTTTTTGGTTTAAGTTTATAAAATTTGGTGAAGTCAATATTTATTTGTGGGTACTCCTTTTTAAACAAAGCATAAACTTTTTTTAAACTGGCCAAAAACAATTTTTTGCACATATTCTTTGCGGTATTCTTTTTTAATTACTACACAGTCCTTTTTTCCTGGCATCATTCTGCTAATATAGTCTCTCAAATAAACTAGTGTAACAATATTTGAAATGGTTTTTCCTGGTTTCGGATTGGGCGTAGAAAAAAATGCACTTTTCTTACACCGTTTTTTGCTGCCCCTGCCATATATTGAGACACACCAAACTCTTTCTAAATTTGTGCTCTGGTCCAACTAATTGGCAAAACTGACAACATCAGCATTTTCTCACTTCTTTAGGTGGTTTCAGCAAATTTTACTTTTAATTGCTTTATTATTTCACAATCATGTTCATTGGCAATATTAGCAGGCGCGAGGGTTTCTTCTAATTTTACACGTCTTTATCCAAAAATTTTTCTGATTAGTTAGTCTTTTCTTTTTGATGAGATATTCTCCCAAGAGCACCAGCGCCTGATTAAGAACTTCCAGCGACTCTTCTCATCCAGATTTAAAATTGGGGGAATCAAAGGTAGTTGATGGTCTGAAAAAAAAATTCACAAATATGTAGGTACCTAAATATACCATAAAATAGGTATTAGAATAGACAATGTTTTGGCTCGTTTCCTATCAATAATAATTATTTTTAACAAACTATGAAAATATACGTAAATCAATTGTATGTACTTACCATGCTTTAGGCGAATTACTTTTCTTTAAACTTTTTATAAGTTTGATTTGACACCCATCACAAATCTTGATTCCTAGCTTAATGTATATATGAGACGACATATTTTCTGAAACATTCCTCAATTTTCCAGAATGTTTCTTCAATTTTAACAGATCACAACACCTGGTCGCAAATATTTTAGACCATATTTTGGATTATCTTTAGACAGTTTTAAACAGTAGAATATAGAAGTACAACAGGAGCTCAGGTTTAAATATAAATTAAATCGGCATTCTGGAGTGTTCTTGCAAGAATTTCTTGCAGAAATTTTCCTGCATCAAACAGGCACAGATTGTCTGATCTGGAGGGTAGGGAATAACTCACCAATGAAAAATTAGACGTGCAAACAAATACAAACACAAGTTTTTGGACTCATACAACACTAGACGGGGCGGGGGGGGGGGGGAGATGAAAAAAGGGGTATTTTTATTTTAGCTTTAATTTACCTATACAGAATTAATATTCAAAATAGAACTTATTGACTGTTTCATACAGCGCATGGAACATTTTTCTTCAGATTTTTTGTTGCTTTCATTTGGTTTTTATTTTTTTTGTCGTGAACCATGAATTCTCAATTTTGAAATTTAGCACATATTTTGCCAAAGCGTTGATAAAAAAATATTTAAAAATGACTTGAAAAAAATCAAAATGTTTTTCAAAATAAAAAAAAAAATTAAATAAAATAGGTCATGTGACACATCGTTAGAAATTTGAATTATCTTTACAACGAGCTATATCTCATTGATCTACGATAAGTGGTCCTGAGTGAAGCTGAGTTGGACCAAAATTGGTCAATTTTTCGATTTTGAAAATGAATAAAAAACTACTACTCAGAAAAAAATATATATTTTGGATTTTTCATCCCATCCATATAGAGAATCAGTGTACCAAATTTTATCAAAATCGGTGAGATGGTCTGCCAAACCTCTGGTTAATTTGATATGAAACAACCCATTGGTGATATATGTCATATACTTATTTATCCGGTTAAGTACTTTATCAGGGTGTTCATACGTAAGATAAGTTATCTATCAGATTAGATCATTTCATCTGCTGGTTAGTTTTATCCAGAAGTGAAATGATGACTTTTTAACGTATCTGGAAGACAAACATTATCTGACACGTTATCTGAAGGTGAAAAGATCGACCCGAAGTGAATGAGGACTAAAAAAACGTTGTCATTCGTTACAGAAGAAAGGAGGAAACGTTAAAACCATTCCCCCCTACAAGCCAGTGGCGAACGAGGCCCATAACTCGGACTCGAATTCGGAGCGTGAGCACGACCACGGCGGTCCCTCCAACTCCAAAACCGGCATATCTCCCCCGTCTTCCGGCAAGAAAAAAGGCCTACAAGGCGCCCCCAGACCGCCTGTCACCAAGAATACCGGCAAAGCCGCTCCGCCGCCGCAACAACAACCGCCCAAAACCGTGCAGCACAATAATAATAACAAGTCGACCAACGAAAAGACTAGAAGTTCGACCGCGGCGAAAATCGCGAGTGCCGACGTCACGGATAAGAAAGAGCCCGATAGTGAGCCGCCGCAGCGCGAAAAAGAACCCAGAGACACGAAGGGTTCGAAAAAGCGCAAAGCGAACTCGAGGACGCCTACTCCGGTTACGGTAACGCCCACGGAAGTTAGTGTCGTGACGGCTGTTACTAGTGCGGGAACTACGAGTACTGTTAGTGTGACTAGTAGTCCGGTGAATAGTGATAAAAAGAGTGGTGGTGGTAGTACGGACACTGATAAGGCCAAAAAGGTGAGAATGGTTCAAGAAATCTTTATAGTGTATATAGCTTATGAGAGTTTAGCTTTAATATATTAGTAGATGAGCAACTAAGAGAGTTTATTTTTTACTTGCTAATACATATGAATTGTTGAACAATTAAAAAACTTATTTTCTTTCTTCAACACCTCTTTGTCTTACTATTTCTGATTAATTACAATTCTATATAGTTGTTTTTTCTATTCTCTTTAATTGTCTCCAACGTAACAATTCTTATAATAAAAACATATTTCTAATTTTTAAACCGTCGACTTTTTCTAAAATTCCCTCTAATCTATATCAATCCCATTGTCAACTTTTCAAAAAATAAAAATTCAACAGCACATCCCAGCACCAGCGACGTCACAACCCTAAAGCCTTTTCAAATAACTTTTTGACGCCGTCGTTACACGAGGGAAACATGACATCATAAATCAAATGATGGAATGATGACAATATATTTACTGTTTCGATACGAAATTTTGCAGCGAAAGTACATTTACATGTTTTTTCAAATGATTCTCCTGCACTCAGTGAGTAAAATCTATTGTTTTTTTTTTGTTGACCTGATATGATAAAAAATTCTAACAATTGACCACATATATTTTTGTTCACTTGTGAGGCCACATTTAGATTACTGTTAATGTGTCTGATCCCCCTACTACAACGTTCATATTCAAGCCTTAGAAAGAGTTCAGCATACATTTTTAAGATTTATTTCATTTAAGGACCACAGTTGAGTCAAGGATATTAATTACTCAAATATTGAGAGTTCCCTTAATATTACCACTCTTCAGATCAGACACATGCTCAACAATCTTACATTCTACAATATACTGCTCTCATATAGCTTTAGTCCAGAGCTATTGGGAAAAATCAATGTTCATGTTCCTTCTAGACAAACAAGGCTTATTCAGCCCTTCAATATTAGACAACATCGGACTAACTACGGACATAATTCTTTTCTATCAAGGTCGGGTAGATTTGCTAATCAGTATTCTGATAGGTTGGACTGCTTTAGCAATAAAAAAGTCTTTAAATCCCAACTTAAATTATGTATGTGATATTTTGATGTCTAGTTAATTTAAGATAATTTAATTTAACTTATTTACAATTTTTATCTTGTTTTTTTTTTAAATATTTATTGTTTTCTTGTTTATGTTAATTTTAAGGTAATTTGTGTTTCTTTGTTTCAACATTCTCAAAGTGTAGGTTAGGTTTTAAATTTTGCCTTTTATTGTATTTTAATTGGGCAATTGCTAGTTGATAAATAAATAAATAAATATCATGTTTTAGGGGTTCGAGCCAACTTCACTGACACAGGGCTTGAATTTTCAAACTTGGATAAATTCATTTCTCCCAAGATTTTTACGCGAAATGTCATAATTCAACATGAAAACAGTATTTGTAAAGCCAGTAAGAACTCGTCGACTATTTCTGTCAGTTTATGTGTCATTGGCTTTCAAAATATCGTTTCCACCATGATACACATACTAATGGTATGCTGACTTTCGATTTAAAATTCGTCCAAACCGCGCATGACGTAATGTGGGACGAACTTTCAAGTTATTTTGACACTTTTCGATTGAATAGTGTACAATAATTTATTTGTTTTTGTGTTAGTAGTGACTATATTTTCCTATATATAACAGGGAAGAACTAAATTAATGTTTAAAATGCCGGTCTGCGCGGTGGAGATATTTCCGAATGCCACAAAATATGGGTAAATTCTTATCGAAGAAAGGACAAACTTAATTGAAATTGCCCTACCCATTTTGAGGAAAGTAATTGTGAGATTCCTCTTAAACATAGATGCAAGAAAAAAAACTGAATTTCACCAGGTGCACGGGCCTCATTAAGCAACTAAAATAAATAGGTATTTTAAAATTTTAGCAGATAAAACAGTAGTTTCCTTTCCCAATACAACAGTTCTTTTGAAGTAATGAGCAGGACATGAACACATGTAATAATGAGATAAATGAACAGAAAAATTGGTTTTGAGTATTTTCGAAGTAAACTTGACAAAAATGTTTAAATTTACCAAATAGAAAGTATTTTTTTTATGTATTTACTTTTTATGCATAAATAATTTGTTTCTGCACTTATTTTTATTTCACATAATAAGAAAAGAGATTGCAAGAGAACTACCACGCCCAGAAAGTACAAATTCGTGTCAAACTTGTATTTTTAGTCTATATTTTTTACTTATCTTGTGGCCAGGTTATGGATTTTATCATAAAATAACTATAATTTGTGAGAAAAATTAATATTTTTATTACTATTATTTACCTTAAACATTCATATTTGTAAACGAATATATTACAAAATAACCAATAAAGCTTAAGTAACTGCATAAAATCTAAAATTGGCAAAATATCGAATTTTAAACACTATCTCCCATTTAATGCTTATATTTCTATGTCCCACGTGACGTCACCGTCAGTCAGCTGCATGCGCAGGAACATACCGTTAGTCTGTGTATCGTGGTTACCACGTTGATAAGTGACATTTCTCATGAAAATCTTGAGGGAAATCACATCTCTCTAGTTTGAAAATAGGTCCCTAGGTGTAGGTATATAATGTAGTGTTTAGTTATGAAAAACCACCTATAAGCCATTTATTTGACTAATAAGCATCATTTTTTAACCTAGTAGCTGTATCAAGCATTTTAACCAGTTTACTGTGATTTTATGGGTTAGGATAAACAAAATTATCAACCAGTTCTAAATCGTTCCAACACTAGTAAAGTCGATTCTAGAACTATAAGTTTGTGCATGTATTCTAAGCAGTTTTGCATCACATTCAGAACTCCTGTGAACTTTCTGTTGGAACAAACTTATCATTTCAGCACCTTTTTTTATATTTTCTCAACTACTTGAATAATAAGCAATAGCAAGGTGATGACATTTTGTGGATTTATGCAAAATAAAATATATAATAATTTAAATGCCCTCAATTTCACAAACAACGATTTGTTCAGTTTTTTTGATTAAACAGTAACCAATATTTAAAAAAACATAGTAGGTGTGTTAACTGGTAGTAATTAATTTTAATGATTTATTTTCACTATTAAGGCGGTGAATTTTGGAGAGATTATCATTGATATTATATCTATCAATTGTGTAATTCTTATTACAAACTATTACTTTTCAGCGAGGACCATGAGAAGTTAAGGTCACTTCTCCCGCCAGTATGGGAGTGGGTAATAACTAAACAGTAATTTCATAGTATGGATAGAAAAATGTTTGGGAAGGTAGGTATTTAAATACAAATAATATCTAGGCATTCTAAATTATGAATGTTCCAATCTGGACTAAATTAAATAAGAGTCTAATTATTAGAAAATAATGGATAATGGCTAGCGCCCTTTTAGTTTATGAGTATTATATTTTAGAGTTATTGAATCATGTTTGAATCTCCAGTTGATAATAATTTTCCTCATTAAAGCTTTTCGTACTAATTTTCCGATAGCTGTTGCCATCTTCTATCACTGATCTTCATACATTCTAAACCTTCCAGATCTTCCATTTTATTTCATTGGGATTTAATGTTTCTTGTTATTTTTGGTTCCTTACATAATCCTTATAGTTCTTTGCTCGTTCTGCTCCATCTGTAAACTGGTCTATATCCAAAATCGTCTGGCTGAATCGTTGATAAGAAAAAACAGAAAACTGATGATATTAAAACAATAATAACGGTTAAATTCAATAAAACAATCGCATACTAAAGTTTAGTATAAAGAATACCTAAGTAATAAACATTAATTTTCTTCTAATACTCCATCTTGTAATGTCCGCTTCACTATTACTATCTTCATTTAAATTAATTTATTTTCACCATTAATATGACAGAATTTTAAACTGATAGATATTTATTCTTTAATTAAATCAATTGCCTTGTCGAATTTTACTTTTTCTCATTTCCTCTTTACCTGAAGCTCTTCTTGTAAATCTACACTGCCATAATCACATTCAAAAATATCATTGTTATTTCGTGAAGTTAATTTTTAAATTTTTAATAATTAATGTCTGACTAATTTCAACACAAATTCTCTGAGACTCCTCGTATTCTGTATCTCAATTTCTAGCTATTGTAGTCCATTTCCATTGCACACTCGATGTGATGACAATTCACAATATTCTTTTTCGATGTAGGTACCTGTGCTTTAGGGCTGGTTTTAAGCTTTGTTTTATATCACGGCGCTTGAACTGAACTATTTGTGCTAATTTGTAAAATTACTTAATGCCTAATTTACCTGGTATCTGAAATATGATTCATATTTGTCAGTTGCTCCAAGTCCAAGTTGTGCCCCACGTTGGATGCCAAGATGTAACAGTTTTACAAATTTTATATGAATTCTGATTTTATTTAGATTATAATTATAAATTACTAGTATCATACATAAACACATTTATAATGGGATTAAAATGTACAATAAGTTGCCAAATAGTATTAAATTGACGGAAACAATTTTAAAAGAATGCTTAAGAATATTTTTATAATTTTTATATTTGTAATTAACTTTAATTTTATATTTATTGGTTTATTCATGTAATTGTTAGTGTTGCATGGTTATATTTATAAGTGTTTGTCTATAAGTTGTAGCTTTGATAATAAACATAAAAGCATTTTTTTATGGGATTTATTTTCACATTTTTTAGTATCGACTGGAGAATATATATGGCTTACACTATATCGATTTCTTTAACTATACAAATGAAAGTTGAATAAAAATATATTCTAATTTACTTTTCTTTTACATTTTAAGGCAAAAGTGGACGCTACGCAATCCATACTGTCCAACCAACCGGTGGTCGCTCTGACTTCGATATCCCCCCTAAAACCACCCGCTCCCCCTCCTCCCGCGACAGTCGAACCGACCGTTCCTACCGAAACGGTAGTAACGGCGCCTTCGATCATTCAACCCACACCGCAAGTACATTCCCAATCGCTTGTCGTATCCGTGCCCCTAGTAAATACTACCCTGAGTCCCCACAAAGGAGTCCTAAACAACCAAACAAGTGTGTTGACTCCCCTCGCTCAAGAAAGAAGTAGCAGCAGAGGCAGTACGGAAAGAAGTACCCCTGTTATTTCTGGTAAGTTGTATTTATTATATAGAATCTCAATATTCAATATGAGAATAATAAAAGGTCCAAGAATTGACCCTTGTGGAACACCGGGTTAAATTGACAATTTTTTCAGAAAATATGATCGGTGGAAACAGTAATCAAGATCTCTTAACCGCCGAAATGAATTCCGGTGGTTTGAAAATTACTTACGAAAAGCAAGTGGATTCCATTAATACTGAAGTGGACATGGAATTAGAGCTTGACACCACCCCTTCCGCCAACGTTGAAGTACCTGTCAAACGAGGAAGGTGAGTCATAATTATAAATTTATTTATATTCGCGATTCAAGTTAAGCTATATGCCCGGAGTTCTATCGATTTTTGTTAAATCGCTATAATTATATAGATTTTTTAATTTATTCAGTTTAAAAAATAATTATTTTGCAACACTGCTATGTTCGCTTGGTTGTGTAATCGTTCATAAATTGCCACTGTTTAAAAGTTATTTAGTAGATAACACAGCCCTACAAAAAAAAAGACTTGCTGGTCGGAAATATGTATTCCCATGTATTGTTCGACGCTGAATTCGATCCCGAGCTCAGAAATGGCCCTCCACGTCTGGAATTGGCCACAGGGGCCAAAAATGGCCTCTGTGGCCTGAAAGGTGGAAGAGTCAGGACTGGCCCAAATTGAGTTCCTGAGGGTTTTCGAGATCGCTGATCACGATTATGATGTTCAAATTGAACTACAGATGACTTGGAGCTCAGGAACGCCGATGAACGTTATCTACAGGGACTATCCCAAAATTCACGCGGGTAAGGAGAGAAACTCGGCGCTCGGCGGTTTTTTGGGTTGCTGAATTCACATTGGACACGTGGTGCGCCTGGAACCGGCACGTTGACGTTATCTTCGAGAAGTTTCTTGCCAAGATTGTCAAAAACACGCCGAAAAACCTTATAGGGGTATTTTTTGGGGCCCTTGATCCAAATTTCACGTCAAAAACGATCCCCGAACACCTAGTGCACCGAAACGTCGTCTCCGAGGGTTCTCCAGAGACAATCGCTAAAGACAAACCGAAAATCGTCATGGGGGTTTCTAGGCACGCGGAATCCAAATTCCATCCCGAAAACGTACCTTCGGAGATCTGGTGTACCGGAACTCCGGCCTGAACGTCATCTGAGAGGGCTTTTCTCACACAATCGAGACTACTGTGTCTTATTAGAGTTCCCTGTATACCTCACTGTATGTGTATACTTCCGTATGAGAAAGTAAAGTTGGGGACTATACTGTATCGTTTAAACTACTCTTTATACTTGACAATCGAGTGTAGAGAAATACATGGGTTCAGGATAGACGCATTAGAATCGGTGGATGGGCATTCGGGATCTTTTAGATACCGGGGAAAACTATCCCATAGGAATAATTCTTGAATTAAGGCCGTAACCGAGCATGATGAAACCTTCTCGACGTCAAATCTATTCGCAGAGTAGAAGAACATTGGCTTCACTCAATTTTCATGAGAATACCACTCAATTACTACGTCCCAAACACGACTTTCCGGAGCTTAAGGGGTCGTTTTCCCAGTCCCAAAGGGGGAATTCCAATTGGCCATAAACTTTTCGAGCACAGTCTGAGTTCGAGAACTAGCACATAAATAAGGACATAAAAGTACCACTGTAGCGATTGCAACGTCCGAAACACGATTTTTCGGCCCTTGAGAGGCCATTTTCCTGGTCCCAAACGGGGAATTATAGTTGGCCATAAACTTTTCTAGCACGGTATTCATTCCAGAATTCAAAAGTACATAAAAATACCACCAATGCCATTGCGACGTCCGAAACACGATTTTTTATCTCGTTTAAAGGCACTAAAGTCAATAGTAACATGAATAATTATTTTTCTAAATTCTCCATAACATTATCTTTCAAATAATGTTTTACTTGCTAGTTAAAAAAATAATGGATTGCTGCCGGGCTCCAGAGGGTTGGATTTCTGGGTATACATTTTATAGACATATCTTTATTGAATTAGGAATCCTGATATACATTTAGAATAAAAAGAGTTTACATGGGTGTTTCAGAATAAAGTACCGTAAATTGTAGATCTTAACTAATACAATACAATATCTTTATTTACCTGAGAAAATATTTCATTTTATGGCTCGTCAAATTACAATTAAAACTAACTATATAAAATAAAATTTACCTAAATATAATAATATAAAAATATAAAATTGAAATTTACAAATATTTACAATATAGTTCACTGAATAATAATTATAAAGAAAAGCTGAATATAACTTTCCTGCAAACGTCCCAGTTTTCATTCTACAGGGTGATAAAGTGAATTTCATAAATATATTATTTTTCTAAATATCTTCCCTTGCGGTAAAGATTTCAACTTAAAAATACGTATATGTTTCCAGCTAGCACAAAAATATCCCATCTACGTTAATAAGCTGCAATTTAAGGCTCTTTAAGCTCCCATGCGATGTACTTTTAATGTAACCCTAATATCCCTGCAACTGCCGAATGTCCGCAACGGCAAGACTTTTATAGCAAATCTCACAGAAGTTACAAAGTGAAGTTCGAAAAACATCACACTAGCAGTTTTACGGTACTTACCCCGAAAGTTGCTCTGAAACGTTCTATTGATGTTATAATGGGAATTAGTTCTACAGCATTATACAGTGTGTCCACGGATGGGCTTAACTATACTTGTGAAAACATTTATTTTAAATTAAAAAAGTAATTTAGTAATATAGGTTGTTCAAAAAGTTTGGATGAAAATTGTTACCATAACCCTTGATTCTACGCCAATGGGTTATCGAAAGTGTATTAACTAATAATGATTAACTAACATATACGTATTTTTAAGTTGAAATTTTTACCGTAAGGGAAGATATTTAGAAAATTAAATAATAATAATAATGATACTCTCCCTAATTCACCCCTTACGAGCGAATTTTAACCCCTTAAGGCGACTGAGCGACCTGTATAGGGGAAGGGATGGATATTATTATTGTATTTATTAAATTCACTTTATTACCCTGTAGAACAGAGGTTCCCAACTTTATTTGCGTTAAGCCTCGCTGGATTATAAAAATATATTAATGCCTCCCCTTGGTACATCACCATTTTTTATTTTTTGGTAATTTGTTTAAAGTAAAGTATTCAATATTTTTATTTAGTAATTTCTTGATCGAGGTGGTGATGATCATTAAAAATGGTTATTTAGCAAGTTGGTGTTCTCCAATATTTTATTATTGGACAAACGATGACAACTGGTATTACTAGATGTTTTTTGCTTGACAATAAGCCCTTAAGATAGCTTAATGCCGAAAGTGCTTTGCTATTTTAATAAAAAAATTGCACGAAATACTAGTTTTCTTTGCTGCTGTAAGCTGCGTGCACACAACCATTAACCTCTTTTAATATCGTCGATTCCATGCCAAAATCATGTATGTGCATTTTATTAAATTTTCAGGAGTGCATATTAATCGTTTAAGATCATCCCATTGTAAAATTAGATTAATAAGTTTAATTAATATAGCAATAATTAGTTTACTATGTACTACGGGAAAAAAATAATAGGTAACCATAATGGGCCATGTTCACATGTGAGATATGCTGTTTTATAAATTATATTGTAATAGTTAGTCGCTATACAAGTTATTCTAAATAGTCAGTTCGTTAAAAAAGCCAAAAGTTTTTAAATTAAGCCCAATTGAAATTTAAAATTTGAAATTATATGTCATCGGGAATAGACCAATCATCTTGTGTCGAAGTTTTTTTTGTTATACAAAACCAAGCCAACGAACAAACCGACAAACAGAATGTCGAAGTGAACTCACATCTAAGTGACATTAAAATTGACACATGGTCTGTGATTGACACCACCTAACCTTAGTTTTTTGTTTTGGTTTAATTTTATTATTAATATGAAAATCAGCTGGATTTATAAAAGTTGAATCAAGTGTTTTACCCATTGTAAACGAAAATATGATTACCGAGATGATTACTGCGTTTTTTAACAATACTCAGTTTACAAAATTCAGAAAGGTAAGACTTTGTTTTAATAGTAGGTAGTTACAGTTTATATGGAGCAAGTAAAACATATTTATCTCCGGTTTTATTTTTAGATCTGCCAAGCAAGAATATGGGGATAATTTCTTTTTCCATAAGAGAGAAGGAGACAAATTACACCTAAACATAAAGTACGGCAAAAACCTGATGAGGTTGTTGTAATTAACAAAAATGAAATTTTTAGTGCACAATATACTTAGGATATGCTGCATGTCAAGGTTTGTAATATTTATTATGCTTTTTTGTTTTTATATTACATATAATAAACAGTGTATAAGGCCCTTTATTCCTATAAATATTTTTTTTCTAATTTTGACATATAGACATTTTTTGTAATCGCAGCAAGTGTTAAAATAATCTAGAAACAGATTTTGTTAGTGAACCTAGTAATAATTATGATACCAAAGAATGCTGCAGAGCACCTATGAAATTTTGAGTTAAAAAATATGCCATATTTTTAGGCTATTTTTATACCCTTTTCAAAAATTTTATGCTCCTCGTTTTTTGCAAAACTTAAAATGCTCTATAGCTTCGAACGAAGTCAGCAAAGCACCTCTGTTTTATAAAGTTTTTTCTTTAAAAACAGCAACACCATATATTTATGCACTCGAAATATTATATTTTTAAAAATACATGGTGCTTGCTAACCTTCGAAAGAAGCCAGCAGAGCAATTCGGTTTTTTAAAGCTTTTTTCTAAAAACCACACCCCATTTTTAGAATATTTTTAGTCTCTTGAAATATTGTAAAACTTTACTAAAAAAATTGCTATTTTTAAATAATACAGGGTGCTTTGTTGGAACAAAGTCAGCAGGACACTTCAGTTTTTTAATTTGTTTTTTTTATATATAAAAACAACTACTTATGACACATGTTTAGGCTGTTTTAAAATCCTAAAAATGTGGTAAGTACATTTGTTTTCAGAAAAAAACTTTGAAGTCAGCAAGGAATTGCGAATTTTTTTTAAAATGCCAAATTTCGAATATTTTATAATATTGTAGGAGCCAAAAAAACGTGGTGTGGTTTAAAAAAAAACTGGGGTGCTCTGCTGGATTCGTTTGAAGCTAACAAAGCATCCCGTAATTTTTTATTTTATAATACTCAATAGCCTAAAATGAGACATAGCTGCTTAAACAAAAAATTGTATTTTTAAAAATGACAGTTTTTTTCGAAAAGCTCTATAATATTTCAAAAATGTGAAAATGTGGTGAGATTGTTTTTTTTAAGTTTTGAAAATCCGAGGTTCTTTACTGGATTCGTTCAGAGCTAGTAAAGCTCTGCTCGTCTTGTTACATAAAATAAAGGCATTTTGTAGCTGGTTATATAGTTATTTTGTAACTGCATATCTAACCCTTTTATTTTTTTCAGTTGGTTGTAAATATGTGGCTTCATAGAAGAAGTGAGGAACCATCTGTAACATCTACTCAGTGTTATTGGAAAGGCTCTAATTTATCAAAATGCGTAAATATTGATGTACACTTGGCTAGATTGTTAAAGAAACCTCTTCATCCACTACAGGAAAATAAATCAGTACTTTTATATTCTTAGGATTTGTATATATATATTTTTTATTTGTAAATAAATTGTTTTTTACTTCATTTTTCTCATTTTTTATTAAATGGTTAATAAATAAAATTTTCACAGATTTTTATATTTTTGTTTGTAAACAATAATTGAAGAGTTTTTATTAAAAATCACCAATGTTAATAATAATAACTTAAGTCAATATTATTCTTTCTCCTTTTTTAATGCTATTATCAATAAAGGTATTACTTTAGCTTGACCTATGATCAATTTTTAAATTTTGTGATATATTTGGTTCGACAGAAAAAAAATATAACCCTTTGATATTGGTTGTTTTTACTTAGATTTTCATAAAAAATAAACGGAACTGCAAACATGTTTTACTATCGTAATAGCGAAAAGCAACATTAAATTTTTTTTTTTTTTCACATTTATCACTGTTGTCATTTTCATAATGGATTGATAAGAAGGCACTTTCTGGTTTTTTGAAAAAGGTGGCAAGAATTGTGATATTTTTAAATTTATCAGCAGTGATACCACATGTAGTTACCCGATTTATTGGAATATATAGACTTTGCTACCACATTCAACTGAACTTGGTTGTTTTTAATATTTATCACTGTGACATAGGCGTTTTTGTCAAAATGTTTCATTTTAAACTGCTGTAAATTGGTGCCTTTGTTTTGGTAGTTTTAGTTCCAAAAAAATCTATGCATATACAGGTACTCATTCCTCTTTGATTTGTTCGAAAAGTTAAAATTTTATAAAAAATTACATTGGCTGTTTAAAAACTCATTATAATCCCTGAAATGTGATAATTAGGTAAATTAAATTAAAAAAACAAACAAAAAAAATTTATTAAATTAATATTTACTCTTACAAAATAGATTCTTGTAAGTTAACAAGCAATTATGCAGATATTACTAAGTAAATATACTTGCTTAAAATTCACACGAATGTGGTTTTAACATGTTAAATTAACTAACCCTTCTTATAACTCTTTCCACATGTATTCTTAGAGATGCTATTCTTTTACTTAATTGTACATCTTCTGGAGAACTTTTTTCATTCTGTGATACACTAGGTGTGGCTTTACTAAAGTGCATCCCATGTTTTCAAGTAGCTGAATATTCTGAAACCCCTATCTGCCATTATATGAGATCCAGGAACCAGTTTGTTTAAATACCCACATTTTTCTATTATTTCTTTATCACTAGTTCTTCCACAAAATGATGAATAAATTCGGTATCTTCAAAACTTTCAGGAGATTCTGCATTTTCTTCCAGAAGGGTTTTTAGGTTATACACCTAAGAATTTATAGTAGCCTCATTTTCAATTTCCTGAAGGGGACAATTAGCAGAAATTGCTGCTACATCTTGATAATCCGGTGTATTTTTATTAAAAAGTTCACGAGAAACATCGCTAGTAGAAGGTTGATTTTCTTCTTTCCAAATTTCTAGGAACACTAATAAATATTTTTGAAGATGAATGTGAATCATTATCACATTCTGGAACAAAACACTTTTTCGTAGTCATAATATTTATAAAAAGTACAAAATTAAACACTCAAATTCCAAATAAATTCTTGATCGAGACACTATGATGACAGATGCCATACACAGTGCTGCCATTTTGCCATTTTCTGAATTATTAAGTGTCTTTTAAAACAATGAAACTTTAAATATGGTAAAAGTTTAAACAGAAATAATACTTTCAAAAAACATTTGATATTATATATTTAAAAGATATTTGTTTAACGATGTTTTAGAAGTCTAAAAGTAAGAAGGAGTACACAAACGAACGTACATCACTTCTCGTAAACCTTCTAGCCGGCAACGTTGTGCGCTAGCTCCTATTGGTCTATTCCCGGTGACGTCATAAATTTTTAAAAAAATCATAACTCCGGCAAATGAATAGATAAAAAAAAAATAAAAAAATGTAGTTTTATTTTTAACTCTACTATTCATAAAAAAAATTTCAAAATTTTTGAACATGCCCCATTGAATATTTTACAGCTAAAATTACGAAAGTGACAAATTTACACATTCATTGTTTTGGCATGGCACCGACGATATTAAAATGAATATTTAATAATATTAACCACCACTTGAAAACGGATGTCCTTCAGCTGAAACAGATATTGTTTCAGATCTCAATCCCAGTCGAACGAGAAGACGGATCGCGTGAGTCGCAGCAAAAAACGAAACAGCGCCGGCGGCGGTTCGAATTCGAATCCCGCCCCCGCAGCGATCAACAACAACGCCGCCCCGCCTAAGAGGTCGAGTCGATCGCACGTCACTCCGCCTCCTGAATCGCCAGGCGCCTTCAGTTCGATAACGCAATCGCAGATTAAGGATTCGCCGCCTAGCAGTCCGAGTTCCGAGAGCCAAAGCGTGCCGCCCAGTTCGGCCAATAGGAGGACGAGAGCGAGGAAGAGCGATTCGTCTGTGATCGGAACCGGTTCCGGATCGTCGAAGGACAGCAAGGATGTTAAAATGTGAGTATTTAAATAATTTATGATCTTCAACGGTCTTCAAATCTAATGTCAAACCCAGTAATTTATCTTTACATTAGTGTGAATCCTTGCGACTTAAATATAATGATATTACCAACAGCATAGGGATGGAATCTCGGTCAAAAGTTGGAATATTTGAACAAATCAATTTGACCATTGTTGGAATATTTGACAAATTAAACAATAATCAAATGCAAAAAATAATAAATTATTGTATAGAAAATCAAATCTTTTTGAAAGATTAAAATTAAACATTTTTTTAATAAACAAAAATACCAATAAGTTATAAATGACTGCAAACTATATAAATAAAAAAAAATGAATTAATATATTTACAAAAGATTACGCCAGGTCAGTTCTACTTACAGATTATTACAATAAGAATCATAACGGGGTGGGTGACTCACTGGTTATAGTCTAAACGTTCGGACCCAGAGGTCCTGGGTTCAACTCCCGCTGGTGATGGAATTTTTATTTAATTTACTGTTGGGTTTTAATTAATAGTGCTGTTCCTAAAGTGTCGCCGGGAAAGAGAAAGCTGCACAGAACACGAGACTAATAACCTTAGTAGCTGATGAGTATGACATTGAATTAAAAAAAAAAAGTATCATAAATGTACCTACAAAGTAGGTAAGTAGTTATCTCAATAGGCAAGTACTTGTAATCCTATTAGCGTATGGATAAATCTACTTTCCACCCATGTGTGAATATGAATATTTTGATTGATGTAATTATCCATATTAATAGCAGTTTTATATATTTAACTGCGGTTGGGCCGGCGTTCTACTGAAACTTTAAATATGAAACTGTTACTTTATGGAAAAAAGTAAATATTTAAATTTTGTGGGTTAGGCCACTATAATTCTCAACGCCTCAATTGCCCTTACGAAATTATGATTCCTTAATTTCTTAGGAGGAATAGGGATTTTCGTTTCTCATTTCCAAATGCATACTTTAGTTTTCGGACTTCTAACTTATAGTTTTAATGTAATATTAATTACAACCATTTATGTGTTTTAAAGTTGGAATGTTAATTACTTTCCATTTATATTGCAACGGTATTTTTATATTAAAATTTAATGTAAGTCCGTGACAATTTAAAAACTTACAATGGCTATATCCCATTAACTTAAACTAAAATGCTTAAACATGTTTCATTTCCATTACCTATATTTTTGTCTAATAACTATTATGAATGTTTATTTAGTTTCCAGAATGGTCTCGCTGCACCCCACATGTTAGGTAACCAATTGAATCCCAATTCGACGATGCATTCGAAGATGAGCGACCATCTTACCAATGAGTTAGAAGCTCACAGCATCTTTAACCCCAACGAAAATAATTCTAGTCTTGTGGGACCTCAGCTCCACCATCGAGTACTGCAATCCGTAAGTTAAAAGATTTTTAATTTTTTTTTGCTGAAACATTTAATTTACAGGCGAGGGCTAGTAGTACTGGATCCAGTACTGCTTCAGGCGGTAGTGGACTGTCTTCCATGCTGGGCGGAAGTAGTGGTAACATACCCCAGACGCTGGACCAATTATTAGAGAGACAATGGGAGCAGGGCTCTCAGTTTCTTATGGAGCAAGCTCAACATTTTGATAGTAAGTATTATAATATGTTGCCTAATAGTTATGTTGTAATTGTTTCCAAATGTATTGAAATAATCATTTAAGCAACTAAACATAATTTACTTCCCAAAAATATCAATTGAATTCAGTATAAAAAATTAAATCTATTTACTCTTAAAATTTCGATTTCATATCCGTTAACTCCACGCAGACTCATCTAAATGTCATCAAAATCATATTTAATTTATTAAACCTGTATGACAGTTGTCAAAATTGTAAAACAGTTGTCGAATTTTTAAGATGGCTGTCAACATTTTCACTGTGAATTTTTGTTTACTTGAACTTAATTTTAAACATTTCCAATAACGTTTTATCTAATTTTTCTTTTTGTATTTTTTTTCCCAAACATTTCTTCCTATAGTAGACTCACAGTTTTTCATTTTCATACCAACATTTAAGCAATACATTATTACAATGAACTGCCCAAACTTGTTGACGGAATTCAATATCAATATAATCTAAGCGCAGCATACGTGTTTGAATGGACACTCCGAGCTATCCCAAAAGTGTTTTGCTTTGGAGCGAGAACACATAGCCAGCTCGACGTTCTCAGTGTAGAAGGATCGAGAAGACGGATAAATTTGTCTTTGTCTCTACCTATCTTCTTTTTTATTAACCTACAAACAAACTTGAATCTCACAATTTAAGATTCGAGACCAGTTAAGTGTGCAGTCAACAAATGATTTATCCGCTTTTGTCTAATAGCTTCAATTATTCATCATAAAAAAAAATAAAATGCGTTTGGAAAATACAATTTTCACTGCTCATATCTAATCACTAGTAATCACAGTAATGGTGTCTGAAAGTGAAGCGGGCATTTGTGGTATATGCGTCATTTCAGGACCACTGAAAAGCTTTTTAATTTTCTTGACTTTTGCTCACTGTTTTGACACAGATACAAAAATGAAAGTTAGGTTAGGTTTTTAATCTGTTTTATTTGATTTGATTCAATGCTCAGTCTCCTCGGTGCTCGCTCGATCGAGTTTAAATCAGAACTGTAAGACAGCTTTCAGAAGTATTAGGCAGCTGTCAAAATATTTAATGTTTTCACTGTTTATTTTTGTTCACTTGAACTTAATTAGGCATTCCAAACTGAATGGCTACCAGTGGGTTCTGACGGGTTATGATATGGCAAAATTATGGCAACCCTGTAGGCCTAGTGATTTGACAAGGTCAATGAAATAGATAGTTACATAGATTGATCATCCATATTTTTCAAAATAAACATAAGCTTATGCCTTGAAGTAAAAATTTAAGCAATTATTTTTTTTAAATATCTAAAGGCTAAAAATTGGTTTTAAAACACATTTTTGCTAAACCGATTCAGATTAATAAATATTTGCCAGGCAATATGGCCGCTCGTAAACGACCAGCTTTGATCAATCTATATAACTATATATGTATCATTGACCCTGTTAATGACAACATGACAACAGGGTTGCCATATCTAAACTGTCATTACCCACTGGTAGCCATTTGGACAGGTCGTTGGAATACCCAATTTAAACTGTCCTAATGAAAGAAAACTGACAGTTACAGGTTTAATTATGTTCAATAGTGTCACCTACAAAAACCCACAGTTCTGTTTTTATGTAATGTGTGATTTCCAGCAGCTTTTATCACGTAAATCTACATTTATAACCATATTGTCAACATATGTGTTGATAAGTCACAACTGCCGTGAATTCTCATAGCGAAATGTTTGATTATACCGTTTTAATTGCAGTTGCTTCTCTCCTTTCCTGTTTACACCAACTTCGAGCCGAGAATTTGAGGTTAGAAGAGCATGTGAGTTCGTTGTTGCAACGAAGGGACCACCTGTTGGCTGTAAACGCGAGACTCGCCATTCCCTTGACAGGTCAACCAGCGGCGGCGCCGTTGTCCTCCCATCCCCATTCAGGTAAGCACCAAAAATTAAATATAATTCGAGTTCCAACACGTAATGTTGCTTCCTTTTACTTAGTTGTGCGATCATGTATTAGGATAGATAGGCTTTAATCATAGAAGTAGTGGGTTTAATGATTATACAGGGTGTTTTAAAAAACAGGCCAACGTTCGAGGGTAGATTCCTCACATAAAAATAAGACCTTTTTTTATATCAACTTAGGTCCGATTCTGCTTCGTTTTGGAGCTACCGAAAATCAAAATTTAAATTAGTAAAATATGTGTTTCAAAAATCTAAAAACCACGAGAAAGTTTGATAATAAGATTTGGGCATATGTTCATATGTTGATCAAATGAATGTGATTTGCAGGACCGAACTTACAGACAGAAATTAAAATGATAACTGTCTTTTTAAATTTTCAAACGTACAGGTTGAAACTTAATTAACATTCAATTAAAATGTTTTTCAAATTTGTTGTCATTTTAGAAATAATTATTGTCATAAATGTTTTCATAGTAAAAAAGTATGCCACCTACTACTTGCCTGAGGTTTGTTCTAACAGCTAATCTGATCATCAGAAGGACGTCAGACTTATGCGCATTGAAAATAGTCCGTTCATACAAAGAAACGGATAATCCGATGAAATAACTAAATTACAATGGCATAAATTAAGTAAGTTGTATATAAATAATTTAAATAAATACAAGTAACCTACAAAGGGTCGTACATGGGCAAATAAAATAAGACAAAACTATATTCTAAAAAAATTATCAACAAAAGAAAAAGGTCTATCAAGGTAGTAATAGTGGAAAGTTTCCGAATAAAAAAAAAAAGTAAAAAAGAAGAAACAGTTGACACGTTTTTCTGACTATTGGTCTTTATCAGTACGGTGCAATCATTGAAGTTGTGTTGGAAAAATTGTACAATAGGAGAGGTCAATAACAAGGAGCCAATAACACATTTGCGGTTTCAGCCAGTATACCCCTAATTTTCTGGGATTATACTAACGTCACAAAATGATTATTTCCTAAAATCTTTTGGTATGCTACAACAAAACATACAAATTATTATTATTATTTTTTTTTTTTTAATACACTAATATTTGTGAAAACTACACATGAAATGTTATTCCTTCCTTGTATTTTCTACCGTAAGATGCATTGTTACATCCAGGTACAAAACAACAATACATTTTGGAAATCCTGTAAAAATATAACACCAAACTACAAATGTTTTTTATTAAAATAAAACAATAAATAATAAACTAAACAATAATTTTTTAAATAAAACATTTACTAGAAGAACAAAATAAACAACACAACAGATAATAAAATCGATTATATACGTCGAACGCCGATCTTAAGATTATTACTAAACTTGCGCCGATTCTGTCTTGTCAGTAGTGTCAACAATCTACTAATCATGACGCCCATCATATTGGGGGTCAACATTTTTTCACGATGCGGAATTTAGAATTTCTGAGAGCTATAGTTTTGATCCAAACTTCAAATCTCTATGACATCTTGATTATTGGAACATGATTTTTAAATTTTTTCTTAAAATTATGTCTTAATACAATGTAACATTCAGAAACGAATATTTCCTTCAAAGTTAGGAATATTGATATTGTTGCTAATATCTCAATATAAATAAAATGCCCAGCTTTATTAAGTCTTAGAAAACGACTGAACATTGTCCAGGCATATTGTAAAATCAACGTCGTCTTTCAGTACGTCTGAAAAGTGTTAGGCGTTTTATAAATGCCTAAAAACGTCAGTTAAAATGTAAAATAAATTATTTCATTCAATTTGCCCAGTCATTTACAAAAAGCCTAGGCATTTTATAAAACGTCTAGTTTTGCGACATATACATTATAATATAAACTAAAACTAGCTGAAAAGTAAAACATTACTATTTCTACATATACAATAACTAACAATATAACTTAGCCTACTTAATAATAAGGTACAGGGTGATATCTGCATACCACAGTCAAGCTTTCCCCCGACATTTTAAAGGACCCTGTTAAAATTAATAATTTGCAACAGGTAACAGGCCGCTAAAATTTGTGGATACAGAATAATGTGTTATGATAAAAAAGTAGCGGACCTGTAAAAATTTAAGTTTTAACGGCTTTTAAATTTTAAAGAATGTTTTACAGAATATATTGACATTTGACAAATATTGTTGGGTCATTTCATATCAAATCAACCAAAATAAAAAGAGGTATGTCAGACCATCGCACCAATTTTGATAAAATTTGGTACACTGATTATCTGTATGGGAAGGATGAAAAAATACCAAAAATTTTTTTTCTGATCAGTAGTTTTTTTTTATTTTCAAAAATCGAAAAATTTACTAATTTTGATCCAACACAACTTCACAAAAATTAGAATATCTTGATAACTAGATCAATAAGATATAGCTCGTTGTAAAGGTAATTCAAACACCTTTCCAACGATGTGTCACATGACCTATTTTATTTTCATCTGTTTTTTTTTTATTTTGAAAAAAACATTTTTTGATTTTTTCCAAAAAAAGTCATTTTTATTTTTTAAATATTTTTTTTTATCAATGCTTTGGAAAAATATATGCCACATTTTAAAATGGAGAAATCATGGATTCAGTATGAAAAAAAAAAACAAGAAAACGTGTGAAAATCTAATTAAAAAGTGAAAATTATGAATATCTTTGGCCTTATTTTTGTAATTTTCTTAAGAGTAACTAAATTTTACAAAAAATATACTTTATATTTTTATGAAAAAATATTTACAAATAGTTTTTGGTTTTAATTTTTCTTTCCAAAATGTTTGAAGATTCAATAATTTCGTCCCTATTTAAAGTATATGTCTGGCCAGTAGCAGTACAAGGATGAACTTTCCTTAATATAGTATCTTTCTTTATTATCAGTAGATCTGTTTTAGGCTTAGGGTAGGAAAATGAACTAGTTGGCCCATTTGGATACAAAAAACTGATTTTGAGTTCATCAGTTTCCTTATTTTTTCCAGTAATATATGCCAACCACCATAATTTGTCATATTCAAGAGTAACAAATCCAGATTGGATATGCATAAACTCTGAATTTGTTATTTCAGAACACTGTGTTAGTTCATGTGTTTGTTCTTCTGAGCTGAATGAGAAATCTTTTGTGACAATTTTTGACTTTCACACTGGAACGACAGAATGGATTTTTTGGGTTCCTGGAATTGTCTGCTTTTCATAATCAGCAATCGTGATAAACTTAAATATGATTCCCTGAATGTCTTTTTGTGCAAACTCAAACAGTTGCTCTGGAGTCATGATTTGTTCTTCATAGGGTCTTTGCAAACTAGCCCTGTTAGCCAACCGTTTTACTGTCCCACCGAGCCCGTCGCCCGTGGGACGTAGGAAAAAGTGACATTCAACCTTTACTGCAAATTTTTCTTCATGATAACACAGATTAGTATTTTTTTTTATTTTCATATTGAGCTGCACACCCATCAGAAAAATAGAACATTTTTGAGCGCAGGTATTAAATCCTTTAAAAACAAGTTAAAAGCTATTGTGTTATGGTAAACATAATTCAAATGCTTCATTTCATCGTTTTCATCTTTGTAATATATTTCAAATGGATGAAGTGTTGCACGACTGGTAGTCCAGTGGTGTGATTGGACCTTATCCTGTAAGACAAAAGAATAATTTTCGGCAAAATCACAAGTGATAAGTGCTTCTCCCATTATTAAATTTGTTTTAGTCTGTAAAAATCTTTTTACATAGGAAATAAACGAGTGTGTTTTTAGTTTAACTAAATCTTGCACAAATTCTTACAGAAAATCTTCAGTGCGTTTAATAATCGTCTCCATGTTACAGCGATTCACATAAACCCACTTGTATGTAACATCAATAAAAAATGCATCAAACTTTTCCATTAAAATTTCGTTTAGAATTTCAGTTCCAGGACAAGTTTCACATTTACCGAGATAACAATCTACGCTTGCAGGATTGCACATTATTTTTACCAAACATGCGTGGTATTCTGGAAACATCGCTTTCTTAGTGCCATCAATGGTGAATTTATCAATTTTGGAACCACTCATCAATTTAATATTTTGATGGATGAGACAAAAGCACACTGAATGTGTGCCACTTTTCCGGCAAAGATGCAGTTTTTTGATTTAAGTTCATAACATTTGGTGTAGCCAATTTATATTTCTGGGTACTCCTTTTTAAACAAAACATACACTTCTTTTAAGTTATCCAAAAGCAATTTTTTTGTGGTCTTTTTTAATTACTACACAGTCCTTTTTTCCTGGCATCATTCTGCTTATATCGTCTCTTAAATACAATTCTCTAACTAGTGTAACAATATTGTTTTTCCTGGTTTCGTATTGGGCGTAGAAAAAAATGCCCTTTCACCATTTTTTTACTGCCTTTGAGACACACCAAACTCTTTCTGAATTTGTGCTCTGTTCCAACTAATTGGCAGAACTGACAAAACCGACATTTTCTCACCTCTTTTGGTGATTTTAGCAAATTTTTTTTAGTTGCTTTGCTATCTCACAATCATGTTCATTGGCACTATTAGTAGACGCGGGAGTGTCTTCTAATTTTACATGTCTTTCTATAATTTTTTCAATCAATAACTTCATTTTTTCTGCTTTCTGATTAGTTAGTCTTTTATTTTTGATGGGAGATTCTCCCAAGAGCCCCTGCGACTGATTAAGAACTTCCAACGACTCTTCTGATCCAGATTTAAAATTGGGGAATCAAAAGTAGTTGATAGTCTGAAAAAAATATTCACACCTATACAGAATTAATATTCAAAATAGAACTTTTTCCTACAGCGCATACACATATATGCATGAGAATACGAATTTGGAACATTTTTCTTCAGTTTTTTTTGGTTTTTATTTTTTTTTGGCGTGAACCCATAATTTCTCCATCTTGACATTTGGCACATATTTTGCCAAAGCATTGATTATAAAAATATTTTTTTCTCTCAAAAAATTCAATATCTCATCGATCTACGATAAGTGGTCCTTAAGATATTCTAATTTTTGTGAAGCGGTGTTGGACCAAAATTGGTAAATTTTTCGATTTTTGAAAATTAATAAACTACTGTTAAAAAAATATATTTTGGATTTTTCATCCGACCCATATAGAGAATCAGTGTACCAAATTTTATCAAAATCAGTGAGATGGTCTGCCAAACATCTGGTTGATTTAAAACGACCTTGTTGTAAATAAGACTTGTCTATCCTATACATGGTCGAATACTTAATTCAATAATTACATCAAAAATTCTATTTATATTTCCTTCTTTGCGTGTTATCAGCGTTCCCAGAGAGTTCTGTATTTACAGTAAATAATATCCATCCGTCAGTGGCGGCCGTTCACGGTGAAGTCCCGCGACCGTCGCGACACAGCGGCGGCGCATCGGGTTACCCGACGCATCCGCAGGCCTCGGCGCAGCACCCGCCCATGGAGAATGGGCTGCCCCCTGATACATATCCGACAGGTTCCCACAGGAGCAGGAGTCCCGGCAACCAACAGAGTCCTAATGTGAGGTAAGGTCGGTTTCTGTTTCGGAATTAAATTGTAAATTGTTTTTTTTGTGTTGGGATAAAATAAAGAAACGTATTTTAGAAGTTCACCAGTTGGGGCGTATCCCAATAGTAGCGGACGTTCAGCACCCCGGCCCCAACCTTATCCATCATACGATAGGCCGGGGTCCTCTGCACCACAACAGGTATTTTTCTATATCTCTCATTCGTTGGTTGAGGGAGTTCATCCGTAATTATTAATGTATAAATCTATTCTGAGGAGATTCTCTGGCTAAAATATTTCGATCATTATCCATCTACAGCGTTTTGAAAAAAGCTTTTTAATTATTAATTAACACTGATATTGTTTTCGTTTATTTTACCTCTTTACAAATTGGTGAAACAAACTTTACCTGTGAAATATTTTCAGAAATACTTTTTATGATAAGATTTTTTGTAAATTATTACTCAAATTTTAGAATGAAATATTTGAACTGATCAAATAAATTCTAAGGTTTAAAAAGTCTAAAACAGACCTAAAGTGCTTTAAAAAATATAAAAAAAACTCAAAAGGTTTAAGTTTTTTAGACTTTTTCGAACCAGATCAGAATATTTTATACTTTTATCATTTTTTTAATACCTTTTTGACTTTTTAGCCTTTTCTGTTAACTTTTACATTTTTTATACTTTTAGACTACTTTAGAGTAAAAGGAAATAAATTTCAATGCTCAAATTTGACCAATTTAAAAATACAAATAAAGGAAACTGATAAAACTCACGTCGCAAAAATGTCAGGCATTTGTTTTCCTCCAGAAAACAAGTACTCCTTTGGCTAATTCCACTTTGTTATACTTTGGACCTTTTAATTTTTTTTAGAACTTTTTTATTCTTTTTTTTTTTACTTTTTTCCATTTGTAGTTCTTAATTTTTTTTAAATTGTAACTTTTAACGGTTTTTTATATTTTTTAGTCTTTTTACTTTTCAAAGTATTTTAGTTTTCACCTTTATTTTTCTTTAGACATTCTTAGAATAATTGTTACACTGTTGAAACTACTTTAGACTTCCCTATAGTCAATAAATTCATTTTTGGACAAAATTTCAATTTTCAAGAAAATTTCCAAAACGATTTTAATTTCAATTTGTCACATTTTGAACATTATTTAATTTTTGGAATCGCCATAGAAAGCTTTCAAAAATGTATACAATTTCCTTTATTTTTAAAATGGTCACATTTGAGTATTGAAATTTATCTCCTTTTACTTTAAAGTAGTCAGAAAGTTTAAAAAATGTAAAAATAAAAAGTTAAGAAGAAAAGGTTAAAAGAATTCTAATAAAGTCTGAAAAAGTATAAGAAAACTTTATGCTCTGTTTATCTTTTTTAGACTTATTTTAAACTTTTTAAACCTTAGACTTTATTCTAAAATTAAGCCAGATTTGATATTTACAAAATTTTTTTTTTTTTTTTTGAAGCTAGGATATGCTTTTAGTATCCGACTGAAACAAGGTTTTATAACCGATACCGAATTTCGGCTCCTTTCTTAGTTTCGGCTGAAACAGAAACCAAACATTCTTTTAAGGCAATTTCTTATGGAAATTTACAATATCTTATTGTAAACCTAGTTTTAGACTAATTAACTTGTATTACTTTCAGCTACACTTACTTATTATCTATTTATTTATGTGACCAAAAAGCCATTAATTAACTTAGTGACATAGTTTTATTTTTATTACTTATTGAAAATAAATTAAGTTAATTACAAAGTAGCAATCGTTCCTACATCTGTAGTGGATTTTTGTAACAAAAAAATAGTATAGTATAATAATATGTATCATAATTACGTAGTTATGGAGTTTTTTTTTTTTTTTTTTTTTTTTTTTTTTTTTTTTTTTTTTTTTTTTTTTTTTTTTTTTTTTTTTTTTTTTTGGCTTGGATAGTTATGGAGTTACCAAGCTAAAAAACTATCAAATACAAAAATTCAAATTTTTATTAAAAAAAGAAAAAACAAATAGAGCTGATAAAATATGTTTGTTAACTATAGTTAAATTAATATTCATAATTAAACAGTCTTATGCTGTAGCCTAGAAATAATAATTTTCCCACGTTTTCATTGCGCCTCCGATCCGAATAAATTTGGCTAGGAGCACTGAAAATTGTTTATTTGGAACACAACAAAGAAGTTTGTGTGTACGCGATGCAAAAACTCTCGAAAATAGTTCCGATTTCGGCTGCAGTTTCGGGCAGTTTTCCGCCGAAACCGAAACTATAGCGGAAACTCTTATTTTATGCCGAAATTAACCCAAACCGTAACCAAAACCGAACCTTCGGTCGGACACTAAATGCTTTATTAGTATTTCTTTCATAGTAGTTCAAATGTACCTATAAAATAAAAGGTATTTCTGAAAATGTTTCATAGGCAAAGTTGTTTCATCGCTTTATAAAGAAGTCAAATAAACGAAAAATTTTCAGTAATAATTAAAGATTAAAAAAAGGTTTTTCAAAACGCTGTATACATTTTGCATAATTTAATTTTGGCCACAGAATCCCCAGTTCAATTCGTTATACTTTAAAACAAGTGTCCTAAACTTTTGGATCCAGAATATTGCTTTGTTATAAAAAAACATGTTCTGACAGTACATCTTAATTAACTTAGTGACAAGCAAAAAATTAAATTATTCCAGTTATGATAAGATCTGGCAAATTTATCAAGATGCAATGTAAGTGTTGAAATATCTGCCTTATTTGTAGGTGATAGACAAGTAGACAAGGTGTGCATGGTTTCTGTTGGTTAAAACATTCTAGATGTAACAATTTTTGTTGCAGTTATTAGTCATAAATACCCATGTTCGATTACTATGTTTTTTTAATTCACCAAGAGCTAGGTGTAGTATACATAGTCAAAAGCCTCGGAAATGTTAATATTATGCAATGTTTAAGATTCTCTCCTCTAAATCAGTTGTTTTTTGTTCTTATCCCAGGATTACTGTTTTCTTCTACAAAGCATTTTCTTTTATAATAGATTAGCAATTTTTTTTACTCCAAGGTTTGGGACATAATAGATATACAGGAACGAATTTTCATCATAGAATAAGTTGAACAAAGTTGAATATTAACATGCACATAACAGAGAGAATCCACTGTTATCGATCATCAATACAACTATGACTTCCACTTCTGTTCACCCCACTACTTACATTAGACATATATTTATGAGATATAAGTAGAGAGCCGAATATACAGAGTGGTCCAAAAGTCTGGAAAAGGCCAATTATCTCGTAAATTGCTAGTCCTAATTGTACAAAATTTGGGGTACACCTATTTTGGGATATGGAGATTCCAGATTTGATATTTGCAATGTTGCCAGATTTGCCGTTTCTCTTATATTATTAGTCATTGTGGTTTTTAAAATTAATCACCCTGTATATTCAGTCACTATTGGAATCTCCTATTCAATACAAGTTCAACCATATATAACACTTATGATTTTATGTAGTCTAGAAGGTCTTAAATAAAATTCTCTTTTTTAAAGTTAAGAATTATAAACTCTAGCTTTATCAAGAAGACAATTAATTCAAAATTATATAAAATTTAATCAAAAAGAGAATAGTTGTAACCTTTAAAAATCAGATTCACAAGTATTTAAATAAATTTGTTTATTTTCAAATGGTGAAAATGCAATTTTGACAGTAAATAACTATACCTAAATTTCAGGAACATAAATGATCTTATTTGCTGGTACCAACACTTAAAACGAATTTTTAAAATGTTACACATTTTGAAACAATTAAAGAATTAATTTTAGATATACAAGACAATTCACCATGTGTTGTGCAAAGTATTAATTTTAGTTTTTTTACCTGATGTACTAACTTCATTAGAAAAGAAAAGTTTAAGCGGTTCAACAGATTTGATTGATACAGTTTCTGATAAATGTAAAAATGTTTCTGGTGACATAGGTCTTAGAATTAGACAACAATTAAATACAACTTTATGGAAGAATGAAGGATTTAAAGCAATTATGGAAGCGAAGGAAATTTTTGAGGGTAAATTTTCTAAAGAAGTTTTTCATTACTTCCCAAATTACAGTATTGTCTTATTAAAGTAGATCTTGAAACGACCTTTTCTATATCTAAACATATTTTTACAGACAGGAGACAATATTGTTTTAATAGTTAATTTCCAATTATAATATACCTAATCCAATGTATTCTACTTAATTTTTTCTTCTACCCAAATAAATATTACAAACAGATGTTATTAGTACCTATCTATGTCTTTTTTTAATCGTTCTTCTATTATGCATGCAAAATATGCACATATTATGAATACATTTTGGTGCATATATTCCGCTCTCTCTAGAGATGAGTCTTTGCCTGATAGGTGCATGTTTCTATTTTACTTTGTTAATCTATGAAAGGTACATTTTCATTACTGAAAATTTTGTACCCGCCTGTATAGCACTAGAAGCTGTGGTCATGTCAATGTAATAATTGATTCTCTTTTTAATTTGGGTTTACATATAAAAAAATACTGTATCGATTTTGTTGGGTCTTATTTTTCCTTTTATTAAAATACTGTATAAATATTTTAATTATTATTTCATTGAATGACAGTTTCAGTTATAATACAATAAATACTAAATTAAATGGGATATGCTTGGATCTTACTGTTCTCCATAACTTTGTTACTAATATAACTTATTTCTTTTCTGGATACGGTACTGTTTATTACTACTCATTCTTTCTAAAATTAACAACTTTTACACTTCCACCTGAAGGTATTAATTATTGTGTTTGTAAGAGATGAAATTTCATTTACTTGAACTATATAGTAGAATCACAATCGACACGGAGTAATAAATCAAAATTGTATAGGTGTTTTACAGCACAGGCGGCTCAAACAAAATCTGTGATTTTAAACAGCCAACAGCTATAAGGTGTGATTTTAAGAATTTTACCTGTGCCGCCCGGTTTTCATGAAACAACAATGGACTACCCTTATTTTAATCCCGTTTAAGACTCTGATGAGCGCACGGTTGGGTAAATTAGGGGATATTTGTTTGTATTATTATTATTATTTTTTTTTTTTTTTTTTTTTTTTTTTTTAATTTGGTGTCATCGGCGTCGACTGCTACGGCCATTAGCCTCGTGTTCTGTGTAGGCTTTGTTACTGTTTCCCAGCGCCACTTTAGGAACAGCACTGTTAATTAGAACCCAACAGAGAATGGTCAAGTGGGGAATCCTACCAAGGCATCAGAATTAATTTTAAATAATTAAATTAAATGAAAAAATCCCGGCCAACGGTGGGATTCGAACCTGAGACCTTCCGATCTCAAAGTCATGACTCTAACCACTGAGCCAACCCACCCCCTATATATTATTATTATTATTATTATTATTATTTTTGTGTTACTGTTTTAATCTTAAATAATTGTAATTTAACCGCCGGTGTGCTTGTTTAAGGTAAGTCTCCTCGTCACTCACCCCTGAAAAACATTTTTTTTTTTTGTTGGCCAGGGACACTTTTGTTTTGTGTATTTTTAGGTGGTAACATATCAAGAACTTGGTAAATTCAATATTTTCACCACTTTTTTTGACATGCTCCGGTTTTACTTGCGTTTTTGCAGTGTTGCACGCTTTTGAGCTTTTTTTGGTGGTTTAGTTTCTGGCAGCGTTAATTGGGTGGTCTCAACGCTGCGCCGCGCGATCCTACTCCTTTTTTATGGATATGATTATAACATTTACATATAAAATAGATATGCTTACCTACTCTCGAAGATCAGGAAACATGAACGTCTCTGAATCACTATATTCACTTAGGAGATTCAATTAGGAGATATAACCCATTTTAGATCCTTCTCTCAAAATAATATAAATAATCTTAATAATCTTCTCCAAAATGAAACCTGGCATGACATGAGAAAAGCAACCAATGCAAATAAAAAAGCTGAAGCAATTCATGATACATTTATGAAACATTTTAATGCCTCAATTCCAAATATATCCCAACCTAAAAGAAAATGTAATAAAAACTTGAGTTATGAATACAGATGAAGTAAAAAGACAAAAAGAACTAATCTCATTTTTACAGGACGTCATTAAAAACAAACCATCCGATCACAATAAAAAATTATATAAACAAGAGAAAACTAAATACAATGTATTGCTAAAAAATGCAAAACAAAATAACTTACTTCAACAAATTAATAATTCAGACAAATCTAAAACTGTATGGCAAATAATAAATAATGAAACAGGACGTAATAATAAAAATAAAGTAGAATCTGAAATCGATATAGAAACCTTTAATAAATCATTGAACTGATATAGTAGAAGGCATCCTCAATAACAATAAAAATAAAATTGACTTAACTTCTTATAACCGAAAACATCAATCACTTAGCTCCTTTTACTGAATCTGACATAGACAGATATAATACAAAACATTAAATCAAAAAGAACTTAATACATATTTATTAAAAAACTGCGCCCAACATATTGTTGTTCCTATTACTGAATTGATAAACTGTTGTTTAGCTGAAGGTACCTTTCCAGATATTTTTAAAACGTCCAAAGTTCTACCATGCCACAAAAAAGGAGATAACTCAGTACCTGAAAATTTTCGCCAAATACATATTTTACCATGTTTTTCTAAAATACTTGAAAGTGTTATAGTAAAACATTTCTTTGAAAACAACAACCTGTTTTCTGCGGAACAATATGGTTTTAGACATGGGGAGAACAACTGATGCCATGCTGGCTTTAATGAATAACATTTAGGAGTCTTTAGAAAACAAATCACAATGCGTAACTATATTCACTGATCTGTCTAAAGCATTTGAATGTGTAAGTCACACATTGTTAATCAACAAATTAGATAAATATGGCATTAGAGGCATTGCAAATAAGATGATTGCTTCTTATTTGCAAAACAGACAACAAAGTGTATATTACAGAAATAAACTTAGTAAACCTTTATTAATGAAAAGAGATGTTCCACAAGGATCCGTACTAGGCCCTCTATTATTTTTAATATATACCAATGATCTTCCATCATATATAAATTCAAATAATGCAGAATTACTAACTACCATGTATGCAGATGATACCAATTTCTCATATCACTGCAATAACACATCTGACATAGTTATCAAAAACTCTAAGATTATGACTGAAACTAAACAATGGTTTGATAGCAACGAGTTATTTTTAAATCACAATAAAACTGAAACATGTGTCTTCAGGTTGAACCAAACAACTAGTGAAACAATGAACACTAAATTTCTCGGTATATATTTTGACACACTTCTTACATGGAACTATCAAATAAATAACTTATGCAACAAGTTGGCAAAATTCACGTTTGCTCTACGTAGAATATCAAATATAGTTAATACAGAAGCAGCAATAACTACTTATTATGAACCATGCCGACCACTATTTAAGCAACTTAGCATAATGACCCTGTTTTCGCAACTAGTATTTGAGAACTTGCTAGCAAAAAAAAAATAATTTGGGAAACTTCACGTCACTCAGACAATCATACATATGATACCAGAGGGCAAAATCAGCTAATCCAAACGAGAACTAGAATAAACAAGTCCAGAACAATAGGCATTTCATTCTATAATGCACTTCCGCCCCACATCCGTAATCTACCAGGAAAAAGATATTACTGGACATGTGTCTATATAACACTAACGATTATTTTGTAAGAGTGAAACATGTAACCTAATATTTTTAATCCTATTTTATTTTAAATTTTATATGAGTATGCTGTATGTTAATGTATGTAAAATGTGGTGTATTTTACCATTTATGTGTACTGACGACTATGTAAACATGTTTATATATGTATTACTGAGAATAAAATATTTCTATTTGAGTCATTATGTACTGATATTATTAAAGGTGGCACTGTAGTATCGACTTCCAAGATTTTGTCCAGATTCCACATGTTTTCTTCTTCTTTTAATACAGGCTCGATTGCCTTTTGCCAATTTTCCTTCGTAACAAGTAATATGGAGATATCTAACAATGTTTCTACATCTTTTAAGTCGTATTATGTCGACCTACATATCCTTTAACTTGTGCCCATATCAGTTCAATAGGATTTAATTTCCAGTAATAGGGAGGAAGATGTATAACATCAATACCTACCATGTGTTTTTGCAAGTTCACCCACTACATAACGTACTGGAGGCTTATTTAATTTCACACTTTCTAGTAGTTCTATTTTTATTGATTTTTTTGGAAAGTTAATCTTTCTGGCTGTTAGCCACTTAATGATATCATATTTCTTCCATGAAGTATTTGGCACACGTCCAATTAGACGGGGATGGTAACTAGCGTTATCCATTACTATAACTGAACCCTTCGGTAAATGTTCTATCAAATGCTGAAAATATTCTTCAAAAACATCAGCGTTTATATCTTCATGGTAGTCTCCGGTTTTTTTAGAATAAAATAATAAAGAACCACGTTTTGAAAACCAGTCATCACTTCCAATGAGGTCTATTCTGTAACAATTCCTTTATATTTAACGGCCTTTAAAAATATTGGCGGCCTTTAAAATATTTTCGTATTCGTTAATTTACTTCTGTCATTACTTAAACAGATTTCTTTAAGATAGTTCTTTAATGTATTTTAAAGATCCGTTTAAATAATGACAGAAGTAAAGAAGAAAATATTTTTAAAGGCCGTTAAATATAAAGGAATTGTTACAGAATAGACCCCAATATGTGTTATGATTAGACGTCGTCCTTTACCGAAAGGAACCTTCAATCCAATAGATAATCCTTCCAAAAAAGCCTGTCGTGAAGATTGAATGTTTGTGTCCTGCCACATTTTGCTAACTGTGTAACCTTCATTCACCCAGGTTTCGTCCAAATAAAATATTTTTTTGCCTTCTGCACATAATTTAAAAATGGTTCTGGGGTATTTCCGTCTCCAACAAACAATTTCATCAGAATCAATAATTGCTGCTTTCCTGTCGTATTTATCCCCCTTGAACTTCAAATCTATTAGAGTTTTCTGTAGTTTTGTTTTTCCCATTTTTGGAAAATACGGATCGCTATTGATTGCGTCCAAAACCTTGGTAAATGTTGGTATCTTTTTTTATTTTTTTTTAATAAAATTCGTGAACTTTTCTTCTTACTTTGCTTTTAATTTCTTCAGTTTTCTCACCTCCTGCATTTTTCTTTGTAGATTTAGCAACTCCACTTTTTAATTCACTTATAACTTTATATATCGTTGATTTGCTAACACTCATCATATTACTTGTCTTTTCAACAGTATCGTCAACAGAAAACGAAGGATTTTTCATTCTTAGGCAATTATAAAAATTGCTTACAAATATTATCTCGTTAACTGACAACACACACTTTTTTATATACGTTTCAAAGGTGTAAACTTTGAACTTGAACCACACTGCATTTTTCAATACTACAGTCACTATTAACCAAAAATAACCACAACTTCTTACAGTTATAGATAATGTAAAAGGGTAGGTAATATGGGGAAGTGATCAAGATACTTACTGCAACTGCCTATCTTAGGTAGGTATAAGTATCTTATAATTTCACTCCCTTGTTATCATTTTGGTTTTTCCATGGTATTAGTAATCTCCAAGAAGATGATAAAATAACGATTAACCCTTAAATTATAAGATTTCTATAATCTAAGGATTTATCCCATTTACATTTTTAATACAATTATAGTCACATTTATAGATTTTGAACCCTTAGATTACTTTCTATAATCTAAGCTGAAACCTTTCTTACCACTTGCTATTAATTTTCACCTTGAAATCAAAAAATTCCAAGAAGTCAATGATGAATAACGATTTAAACAATTTAATGTAGGTATACCTAATAGTCAAATTTATAGGTCTTGAAAAATATTTGTTATATATCTTGTTGTTAATTTACTCAAACAGATACTCTTACCATTTACACAACAATTGCAAATAACTCAAAAAACATTTTGTAAAGCACTTGCATACCGAAATAATACTCAATAATAAATATGCAAAAAAAAAATATATTTTTAAATGATGATTTTATGTACCCCTTAAATAATAATATAGACACCCACACCTGAAATTTCCTGATCTGACAGATTTATTACTCTTTGTCGATTGCGATTCTAGTATAATAATAATAATAATAATAATTTACCTAATTTGTAATAGGTTCTATATTTTTAATTTTTCATTATAGTTTAAATGTAACTATTTTTTTTAGTATATGCGATGATGACTTTTAATCGAAAAATGTTTCCCTCTTAACCTTCACTTCTTTTTCTCTTCAAATTTCCAGCAATAAAACACAATCCCTACAGTTTGGTGACTGTGTAGCAATTAAAAAACAAACTGCTATTATATTATGGTTGTGGGTCGTTGTTATAACGTTTATGAAACACACTTTTTAACGTTCTTTTTTATTTTCCAGGTGGTAATACGAAGAGAGAGGGGCGACAGAGAACCGGAGATGTTTCACCATGCATCCTCGAACCCTAGCTGAAATCTTGTTGACCCTTCATTTAGTATTATTACCGAATTGTTGATACTTGCGTTGACAAATCATTGAAAAAAGTAGCGTCATTTTCAGAAAGAAAGAAAAAACGGTTACTAGTCAATTTAATTCGAACATCTGAATGTTCGCTTCAAGGTTTTTATAAAAACCTTAACTTTACCTTCTTAGTTTGCTCCTGAGCCAATAGAGTAGGTAATTAATGCGTTCAGAACATTTTTTGACTGCGCAGGCGTGAGCTGTCACCTGTCATGTGATATGTCATAGCCGATAGAACTCTATCCATAGATGGCGCAACTGTGACGTCATATGAAATGACAGATGACAGTTCAAAATCGTTCTCAACGTATTCATTACCTACTAAATAAGTTCATTAAAGTTTATACAGGAAGATATTTAAATCCGGATTTATAAAATTAGTTAAATTTCTATCGAAAAATGTATGAAATAATGTTTGTATCTTTTTGAAAAATCCATTTGAGCTGATTAATTTTGTCTGGAAATGATAAATCGATAAAAATGTAAACAATATCGATGTTTCCAGTATGGGTACTCCTGTAAGGAAGAGTAAGTTTTCAGAATGTAATAAAATAAAAAAATATATGAAATTTCTTTGCCAAATTTACTTTTGGGTATATACAGAGAGTCCAAAAGTTATTTGTTATAATTTAATAATTTTTGTTTCTTAATAGTTTACAATAGCTTAAAATTATTGATATGGTTAGATATGATTAGATAGTATTTAAAACATCACACGGTATCATAGATATACCATTATAACAGATCAGGTCAATAATAAAATGAATAATAGTTTTTGATTTTACCATACATTTTAGGAATATCCTGTTTATATAATGGTTTTTACACCTTATTTTTGAATTTTTTTCTTTTGATCTTGGGATATAGCTTTTCTTTTTTTTTTATATATAAATAAAACTAGTTTTGTATAGTTTTCGGCCACTGTTTTGTGTCTTTCCTTTTATTTGTTTTTATTAAATTGATCATAATTTTTATCTTTTCTATTACTTGTTTTTTTTTTTAACTTATTGACTCATGTTTAAAATTGTTTTACTATAGGTACTTAGCATACTATTACTACTTCATATGTCAAGAGCATGCAACAAAAATCTAGTTTTTTTTTATGGATTACACTTAGAAATTCTGTGTTAATCATATTTTTCGTTTATTTCAATTTCAATGACCATTCCTAAGTACATATGTTGATATTCTGAATCTGAATGGCCATGCCATCTTCAAATATCAATTGTGCTATTTACATTTCTTCCATCTTCTTGAATCGATTTTATATTTTATTTTCTTTTGTGACATTATTAATTGCTGCTGCAAATAAAATTGAACTCTGAATGCATCCATGCTTAGTGCCTAACTCCTATTTTCTACTGAGAATTCTTTAGAATCTTCGTAATTTAATCAAATAATTTTTATTTATATAAAATTTAACTATGGCCGGGAAAAAATATATTAGTGCCGTTTTATAACTGCAAAAGCGCTTGTTATAATGACTTATAAAATTTTATTACATTTCTGAAAACACACTTTAAAAGAGGTGACCTTTCTATTTGCTGGTTCATAATGATTTACCTCTTTTTTTACCTAATGGCCTCTGTAATAATGTGCTTGACTCAAGAATTTTAAAATCTTTATTTAAATTTTAATAGTTTGTCTATTGTACAATGTGCTTACAATATAATGAAAGAATTTTATCAGTAAATATGTATGTGCAATTTCACTATGGCTTTGTTTTGACTTCTGTCGAGGTGAACTCTTAAGAGTTATGACACGATTTGTTAAGTTACGCCTTGTCTGGATTCGGACCAATGATTTTGTTCCTCCTAACTTATCTTTTTCGAGTTTTGTGCTTTATGTGATGTGACTGGATGAGGCAATGTTTGCTCTTAATTCGTCGGAATATTTTTTATGTATGTTCTGCGATAATTTTTTACCACGTTTTCCGATTACTGTGGTTCTTTTTTTGTTAGAACGAGGGTACCTCACAGGTGGCCCCAAATATAAATTTGGTCAAGATTAGATGATGAGATCCATAAGAAAATCATCAATTTCATTCATTTTTTGAGTCGATTTTTTAAAATAACTTTGGCAGTTAGCATTTAAATATCTACCCGTACAATTTTTACTGAATTTATTTGCTCTAAATCGTACATTTAAGGAAAAATTAACATTTTCTGTTGAGTATTAATTTTTTTTGTTTTTGGCGAGCAACATAGATCGATTGATTGCCGATTTTTTTTAACAATTTTTTTACTGAGGCTGATAAGTAACTCGTATGCCAAAAATTATACTATTTTTAATTCGATTTTGACGATTCGTTTATTGTGTTCATATTCGGAATAGCATTTGATATTTCGATATCTCAAAAAACTCCTTTACAGTTTTTTGACTATTATTATTATTATTATTATTATTATTATTATGATTATTTTCTTCTGTTAATTTTAATTATTTAATGTGACATTTAAATTATTTTTAAATTTAGTCCCATTTTTAATTTTTATATTATTTTGTCTTATTTTGTCTACATACAAAAAGCTGGTTAAAAAAAACGAATAGGCAAAATATTGGTTAAGTTAAATCTTCTATAATTTTTAAATCGATATTCATTAAATTTTCGTCAAATTAAATATATTTTCTAAACGCTTTGTGAATTAATAATTTACATTGTTTTAACGTAATAACATAAGATTTTTTTACCTTTAAACAAAACACTACGCATAATTTTAAAACTCTTTCAATAAATTTTTTGTAATTTTTGATGGTATTAAGTTGTGAACAATTTAAAAAATGTTCATGCGAAAAATATCTTTAAATGGAAAGAGGTGGCAGTACTTATATATTACCAACAGTATTTCTATTATCTAAATGTACTAATGAATATGACAATGAAAACCACAAAATTTAATGCAACATTCTTGAATGTACACTCAAAATATAAGACTAATTTTAATTTCCTGCACAAAAGGATTCATTCGGTACATATGCAAATCGTTGGTAAACAAGAATAGTGACAGAACTCAAAAATATAGATTCTTAAGTTTTTTGTTTCCTGTCATGATCTTGCATCATTTTAAAAATATTTAAATCTTGTTTGAGAATACACATTAGTGTCTATTTTGTATTCAAACAATAATAAGTTTGCTTTGATAATATTAAAAAAAAAAACAAAAGTATATTTTCATCACTCTTTTGAGTTGTGACGATTTTCCAGAAAAGTATATTTCACACCATTTTAATAATGACCTTTTCAATAATAATGTCCTATTTTGACTTGTGTCACTCGTTAAAAATAATGTTCTTAATTTATTTTTGATAAAACTGGAATACTTTGATTTATGTCACTCTAGCCGAAAATTGCCGATCTTGTCTTATCGAGTATCGGAGAACAACTAGATTTGTGGCACTCTTCATCATAATAAACATGCGACTTTGGATTACGAGAAAAACGACACAACCACTTTTCAGCGGTCATTTTTGAAAGTAGCAATATTATCGTTCTTTCACATAAAAATATGTGGATTTTCTATACATTTTCACAATAAGCTCAGAAATTGTATTTTTTAAGTTGTGTTAGTCAATATTCTTGTGCACCAACGAAATATTGTAACATTGGCACCTAAAAGTTAAGTTGATGATATATGTGTATACCAAATTTAGAACATGTTAAAATAAAAAATTTATAGTGATACATATATGTACCAGCAGTATTTTTGTGTGGTACCTAAGCGTACCAGTTAACAATTCTATGAAGAATATAAAATTTACTACGAACATATTATTGCTGTATTCAGAAACGACATTGGACTTAAGCAGTTCCAGGTGATACCAATACAAATAGCAAGTAACACTGGCCGTCCCAAATGTTAAAGTGTTGGTACAAATATGTACCAAGGTTTCATCAACCTCCGGTAAAAAATAATCTGAAAACTAGTTTTTCACTTTCAAACCGCAACAAGACTAGATTTGCTGGGACTGTTGCTTATTTCCCTATTACATTTATATACTTGCTGGTACACATGTGTACCAAATTTAGAACATGTTTATGAAAACAATATATTGAGCGCGAAAGGGGGGTTGTGGTACATATATGTACCAGCAGTAGTTATGTGTAATAAATTTAAAGCATGTTTGAGTGAAAAATATCATCTTTAGAGTGAAAGAGGAGATGGTACATATACAGGGTGTCCCGAAATTAGACGGTCATATTTAAACAGCATAATCTACATCCTAAACTAGGAATAAAAGTTCATATAAACATAGGTCCGAAAACGTTTCTTTTCCGATATACAGGGTGTTAAAGGTGAAGTCCTGATGACATACTTTTGTAAATATTTTCTACGCTCTATTTAATGAACTAAACCCCAGTTTTTGATCATCTTCATAGGTGGGTAAATTAGGGTAAAATTTTTCTTTTGTTGACAGTTTTTAACATTTTTGACTATAAAATTTGGGAAACCAATGTTTTCTTTATAATAAAGCTACTTTTGTTGCATCTCGCAATAGAAAAGCATTTGAAAATTTCATGATAAGTTAATGTTATCTTATTCGAAAGTGCAAAAAATAATTAGTAGGCTTGTGGAATCAGAATTTTTTTTTTTTTAACTTTGAAAAATCGGTGACTAAAGAAATTTTAGAAAATAATTACAAAAATGTGCCATCAGGACTTCACTTGTAACACCCTGTATCTCGAAAACGGAACGTTTTCGGACCTATGTTTATGTAAATTTTTATTCCTATTTTAGGATGTAGATTACGCTGTTAAAATATGACCGTCTAATTTAGGGACACCCTGTATATACAAGCAGTATTTCTGTATTGTATCTAAGCGTACCAGTTAGCAGTTTATTGGAGACCACAAAAGGTGCTACAATGGAATAACACTAATAATTTGGGGCTAATTTCTTCAAGTACAATATTGGGCTAAACAGTCCTTGATGTGAATACAAATAGGAAATCAATCACACAAATTAAGTTGGTGGTACACAAGTGTAAAAAATCCAGTGATAGTTAATTTCAATAACATTCAAAAACATATTGAAGATTAAAACGTGACCAAATTTTTTCTTAACCGTTTTTTTACCAGTAAATTTTTTTGTAGTGGGTTCGTTTCAAATGAAAATTTTTATACGCTTTCATTTTAAACTCCCATTCCGGTAATTTTTTTTGCCAAAAATGCAAAACTCAGAAAATTTAAAATCATTGTTTAATTTTTTCAATATGGTCTCCGCTTATTTAAAATCTACAAATACGTTTTTTATTTTATTTTTATAATTAGAAAATGGTCCTGAAGATGGTCTAATAAAAAAGTAGAAACGTCGATGATGTTTTAAAAACAAATCTGGTTGTTTTTTGATGATCAACAAGATTCTATGAATTTAGTTATTTTTATGATACATACTGTATAAAGCTTAAAACCGTTTTACGGTAAGTTGGATAGAATAAATATAAATTTGCTCAATTTTCAATTTTATTTTATTTAGCAATATTATTTACATATCGGCAAAATATAATAATCTTTATAGAATATTAAAATAAAAATATTTTTAGGCGTAATGATTATTAAATTAAACAACTCGTTCAGAATAATTATTAAAAAAACGTAAAAACAGCCTCTAAAATCTAGGAAAATTATCTCACTGAACTGGTAATTTGAAGAACACCAATATTAAAAACCAATAATTTATCAAAAAAACAATCTAAATCACAACTTTTTATTGCTAAACCACCCCATAACCGGATTTTGTACGTCCTCAGACAGTTTTGAAGACTCAACAATAGATTAAGACAAATTGCTTGATTAAACTGGTTTTTTAGAAGGCATCAATCCCTTCTGAATGCGTTCAATATCAATTGTAAGTCATCTAACCGGTATTTGAAGGCTTTCACAGGACCCAAATGAAACTGTAGATGCTTAAACTGTTTCCTAGCTTGAATTCGGTAAATACCAATTATAAGTGGTCAAACTTTTGAAAGCTACTAACGACCGGTCAAGGCATATTGTAAATGCTGAAACTTTTTACAAAAGTCTCCAGAACGTTAAGAAAAGCCTTCAAGGCCAATTATAAGTGATCAAACCGGTTTTAGAAAATTCGGCCACATGTAAGGTCAAACAGGTTTTAATACAGCTATCAGGTTGATTTGAAGGCGCGAATGATCAGTTAAGTAGTACAACCAGTTTTGAAGGTTTAGCAGAAGCCAAGGATAAAGGTAATTGCTTTTAAAAATCGATAGATTGGTTTGAAGACCTTTAAGACCAATATAAGTGATTAAACCGTTTTTTAATGTCGAACGACAGATCAATGCCATTTGTAAGTGGTCAAACCGGTTTTTCAGGATTCAATCCATAAGTCAAGGTCAATTTTAAGGGTTGAAACTGGTTTTAAAGGTCGCTGCGTTGTTCTGGAAGTGGTAAAAATGAATTACACGTGACCAAATTATTTTTTTATGGTTTTAACAACTGGTGAAGACCAAATGTAAATGGTGAAAATCCAGAACGGTTTAAAGGCTAACTTTAGGTAACTGTTTTTGAAGGTTCAATGACCGATCAAGGTCAATTGAAAATGGCCAATCATGTTTTAATATAGCCACCAGGTTGATTTGACGGCGCCAAAGATCAATTAAGTGGTAGAATTAGTTTTGAATATTTAGCAAAGGCCAAGGCCAAATGTAATTGGTTTTAAAATTTCGATAGAATGGTTTGAAGACCTTCAAAATCAATGATAAACCGTTTTTTTTTTTTTTTTTTTTTTTTTGTTGAACTATTGATCAATTCCATCTGTAAAGTCATACAGATTTTTGATGGTTCAAACCAACGGTTAAGGCCAATTTTCACTGTTTAAACTGGTTTTAAGAGTCACTGCGTCGTTCTGGAAGCGGTACATGATGAAACCGGTTTTTAAAGTTTTAAATTACTGCTCAAGGCCAATAACAAGTGAAAACCTGTTTAAAATTTCTACAGAACGATTTAAAGGCAGTCAGTGCCAATTTTAAGTGAGAAAACCGGTTTTTGTAGGTTTAACTATTAATGGTTAAACAGTTTTTACTGTAGCCACCAGGTTTATTTGAAGGCGCCAAAGATGAATTAAGTGGTATAACTAGTATTTGAAGGTTTACAAAAGCCACGGCCTAATGTTAAACGACCGATCAGTGCCATCTGTAAATGGCCAAGGCTAATCTTACGTGTTTAAACTGATTTTAAAAGTAACTGCATCGTTTTGGAAGAGTTAAAAATGAATTATACATGATCAAACCGTTTTTTGAAGGTTTAAACAACTGGCGAAGGCCAATTGCAAATGGTGAAAATCTCCAGGACGGTTTAAAAGCTGCCAAGATCAATTTTAAATCATCAAAGCGATTTTTAAAAATCAACGACCGTTCAATGTCAATAATTGTAAATGGTTAAATATCTTTTGATATAGTCACCAGATTGACTTGAAGACGGTAGAGATAAATTTTAAGTGATTTAAACCAGTTTTAAAGGCTTAACAATGGGCCAAAGTAAACTGTAATTTATTTTAAAAGCCAATGGATCGGTTTGAATACCTTTAAGATCATTTGTAAGCCATTAAATTGGGTTTTTAAGATTGAACGAGCGTACAAGGTCATCTATAAGCCCTTAACAAACTATACTCGATATAAACAGATGTTACAGGTTTGATAAATTATTGGTTTGCCACATATTATGTTTTAGGACATTTAGTGTTTTATCAAAGTACCTTTAATTGGGTACCTTGTTTTTGAATCGTTAAACGTATACAAAATGCTATTTATTCATGAATTGCTCTAAAATCTTTTTTTTTATTTTTCACTAATTATTCATAATTTTTGATTGACCATTAAACTTTTGACTTTATTACAAATATTTATCTAAAAATGCATTGTTATTATTAAAATATGATTCATAACTGCACTCATTAGATCATGATTTACTAATGCAGTGATCTAATTAAATATTTGATTAAGAGGAATGGGTTTGGTTTTTTTCTAATTAAAAAACTGCAGACAAGATGATATAATAATTGTAAAAACGAAAATGTTCTTCCGGTAATCACATTTTCAAAAATCTAATATGATGATGATTATCCGTTCATAAATATATAATGGAGGTAACATTTATATTTTTATATGGATAGAACAAGTTTTATTTCAAATTGATTTTCATTAAATACAGGTATTTTTGAACGATTTTTTGTCAAAAAATATTTAAAAGTGGTTCATTTTCTATTATCGCTTATTCTAGAGCTACTTTTGTCACTTAAGTCTCGAGACTTAATTTTTTTTATTTGCATTTGGATCATTAATGCATTTGGAAAATTCTATTTGAATTAGAAAACTTAAAAAAGCGACATAAGGAAAATTATTTAACTTTCCAGACGAATAACCAAACTAATTATAATTATTTCCAAATGGTAAGTAATAATATTTAGTTTATATTCCAACACTTAAAAATATCAATATCATAACTGATAACTTATTCAAAAAGAGCCATAGAAGGGTAACTTATTCATCACCGGATAATTGTATATAAAGTGTACAGGCTGGGATTTTATTAATACAAACCTATCAGTTTATTACTTACCACATTGATTATCGTTTACCCGGTACAGATCGGATCAATAGCAACGAAGATATAGACTTAGGTTCTTTTGGCATTGCCACTGCACATGATTTTTCTCTTCAGCGTTAATCTACGTTTCGTCTCCTTCACAACGCCGTTTTTTCCGTTTGATTCTATCCAATAATAGCAGACCTCCCGTGTTAACACAATAGTCCCTTTGTAGCGTAGCGGTACTGCAGCATGCGGCTTATTGTTTCACCATGTGAAGGTCCTAGTAGTCCCATTTACCATACACTCATTCACCGTCATTCTATCCACGTCGTCTATGATTAACCGCTAATGTCCTATGGTGGACTGTCCAGCCGTGATACATCCACGACGTGACCGGAGACATGACTGCTTAACTGCCGCGAGAACGTGGATGTATACTAGTCTCGCGGCTAGCTTCTCCGACCAGAAAAATGTCGAATTTACTTATTTATTTGGATCCTCGGTACAAACAAAATTATATTTATAAACTTTCACGTGTCATTTCCCTTAATGTCAAAATTTGTACTAAAGCTCTCTTAAGCGCAGACCACAATTTTTGAAAGAATCTTTTATTGAATCCAAAAATATTCTCCATACAACATAGAAACAAGTAAAATCTCGTCCTAAATTTTCTCCGTATTCATTATTGAACCAAATCCAATTTAAAGAATAGTTTACATACTGCTTCTCACCAAAATATGATTTATATATTTGAAATTGTTGATTGTGGATTGAAAAATAAGTACAGCTTCATTAGTAATAAATCACACCGTTTACCCCATTTTAATAGTTTGAGAGCCAGTGGCCACTAGACCTACGTTATAGTATGAAGGTGTGAACACTATAGTAGGTAAGAACAGAGAGGTAAACTACTCCCGAATGCGAAATACTGGTACGTTTTCACTCAAAATCACCGAAAAAACTTCAAAAATTCCAAAATCATCGCCGAAATCAATTGGTGGTTTCCCCCTCCCCTTAAAAACGTTTGTGTGTTATAAACCTTGACAAAAACGTTATAGTATAAATGAAAGCTGATTTTTTAATATGTTCAACTGGATAACATAGTCCCCAATCAAAAAGTGCCTGACACTTTTGGCGGAGGCTTACGTCTGTCAGACACTTTCAAGGTCATAAAATATTGAACTTACATCAGTATAAAAGCTGATTTTTTTTGTGTTATTTAATAATAATAATAATGATGAAACAGCCTGACAAATTTGATGGGTCTAACAGTAAAAGGCCAGGCGTGACTATGAGCGAAAGAACATCATTCATGTACATAAGTCTACACGTTGCAGTTGTCTGGGTCTCGAAAGCCCAACAATTGACAGCTATTCGCAAACTATAACAAATTCAAAGAAAAGCATGTCTCAACATAACGAGCCATGAAAGTCATTCTTAGTATCTCCTTGATCTTTACATCAAGGAGGTTGCTCTGATGACAGTGACTCGGGTCTGCACGGTTGGAATAGAACCTGATGTAGGATCTGTTAAGGCGAGAAGTCGCTTTTGGCAGGAGGCGCTTAATACGCTTCCACTGCTTAAAGCAAACATGGACTCCATCTCACCAAGATATATCTTTCATAAGCCATATAAAGTTAAAACGAAACAAAAGAAGAGCTGGAAGTGGCAGGTAGGATTCATATCCTACACCGACGGTTTTAAAACAAAATAAGTTTCAGGATGTGGAATATATTCCAGATCCTTAAACCTAAATATAAAATGAACTTCCTTCATACTGAGCTCACGGATATTCTCACAGCAGCAAAAGAAGTTACCAGAAACCATATCACTGGAAGAAACATGCTCATCTATACAGATAACAGACAAGCATTACTCACCCTGGACATATCACGAATTTACTTAGGATTATTACTAGATTGTCACGAAGCTTTGGCCAAAGTATCCATCAACAATGTGGTTTCCTTAAGATGGATCATAGGTCACGCTATACTGAAAGACCGTCTTGCTGATTCACTAGGCAAGAATGCAGACAAATCAAATACTTTTTGGAACTTGCCATTTTATTGGACTGACAACATCGGTAATGATAGACCTAATTAAACAGCATTCCTTTGTGAAATTCAAGAAAAGAAGAGATGAAACAAGAAACTGCAGAGTTGCTAGGGAGCTTTTAGGTTATCCTGACAACACGGTAGCAAACAAATACTTGACTATGACTAGATAGAATCTGCGCCTAATATAGTGTACACACAAATAATAAAATCTTAACCCTCTCTAACGAAATTATAATAATAAAAAAAAGGAAATTGATTTTTTTTGTGGAAGATGAATTAATATTAAAAATTAAAGAAAAGAAAAGGGGGAAGAAAAGAAAATATAGAAATTTTATGAGGAATAAATTTGACAAAGAAATATTTTTAATTTTTAACCGACCGAAAAAAAAATTGAACTGTAAGCTCACAACTAGCTCAAAGGGAGTGGGTTCTCACTGCTTCGGATTCACAGATGAATTTTGCTACTAGTAACTAGTACGAAAAGGACGGCAACAAGAACTAAGGACGCCAGGTATTTTAGGAACAGAAAATACCAACTGTACCTTCTGTGAACCTGACAAATTGGATAATGTGCACAACAATTGTGGTTCAATAGGTAAAATAATAAAAATATTAAATAAGTATTGTTTTTATTCCTTTATTCTAGCAAGCAGGGTCTGGTGTTAGGCCGGTGTTCTGAGATTCTTGGTGCTGTTCTGCATCTGCTGGTGTTGTTCTTCCTGCAGGAAGAATGGGATCATTCCGTTCTTAAATTTTTGCTTCAAAACTTGAGTGGGTTTGTGCTCTAAAACTTGAGTTTCTCTTCCAGAGTGTTCTAATGTGGGCCTTGTTGTTGTTAGGCCCAGTGAAGTCAAAGGCTCTCAAAACAGAAAAATATATATCTCGAACCAATTTTGGTAGAGAATTGAGGTTTCCCCGCTCGCTCGGTCAAATCGATCGCGTACCTCTCCGAATTCTTTATTTAGAATATTAAGATTCAAAATTTAATTTTTGAAGATTGTGTTACGAAGGGACGGTAAAATTTACCGTAACACCTCATACTATAACGTAGGCATAGCGGTCGCTGTTTTTTTAGCATATCGATGGCTTATTTGTAATAGGACGTAACCCCAAAAAGTAAAATTTTCAGTAAACAAGAAAAACATAATAGAACGTGAAAATAAAAAAAAACGTGATAATTTTTGGTAGGTATAGATATAATCTTGGTGACATTTTTTCATATTTACAATGGCTAAATACAATTTTTTTGGTAAATTAATTAATTATGTGTGATACGTCATATTTGTTACAATAAAAATGCATTTTTGTGGCTTACGCCAAATTAAAAGAAGGATGATACTTAAAAATATTTATTATTTTTAATCACTTTAATAAACAAAACATTTTATTACAAATATTCGTAAACAAGAATAAAATAAGAACAAAATGAAAAATTCTAAAAATTTAAAAATACTTTAAATTAGCAAACATTACTAGTTATGAAACTATTCTATATGATGTGGAAGACAATCATAGAAAGAATGCGTATCAGATGTGAGATGCGTTTTCAATTGCTGCAAATGCAACCATTTAGAATGTTTTATCTTTAGTCTCTCTTGAAATAATCTTTGGAATAAAACTATTTTAATGTTATTTTGTTTTGGTCTTTGTGGTAATTCTTTGTAGTCATCATCAAAGTTAATTTTATAAAACAGTTTTCCTTCTGGGGTATACATTAAGGCCCTAAGATCTGTAACCGTTGGATCATTAACATTTCTTCCTGGCCTAATAGAATTATAGATAAATGATGATTTATCATCGAAGTTTATAAATTGATCGTGAGTTAGGTAACAGACATCAAAAGGTTTAGGTTTTGATCGAGCTTCGCGAATTACAGAAATGTACTCACTTGGTAGTTGTATAATTCGATATTTTAATTTCTTTTCGATTAAAGCATGGACAGAGTCACACTCCATTTGAGTGTGACCCTTTTCCAAATATTTCTGCACAATAACAACATTATGCTCGATTGAGAAATGCAGTAATGCATTAGACAATATAGCATTACGATTCTGATAGCAACAGCCATCAGAAAATAAAATAATGGGTTTTTTATCGGCCAAACAATTTTCTTTTAAATGTTTTATTATGCAAGTGGCAAAAATAGATGCACTTAAGTCACCTTCACTTTCATTCCATACATAGTTTACGCAACTATGAGACTCTAGGTTATAAATGGTAAAATTATGAATTTGGAGTTTTGTTTTATAATAAAAAGCACCCACGTTTAGAAATGGACATAATTTTACCGCTTGTGTGTCCATAGTGAATGTATAAACCTGATTTTGGAGAGCTTCTTCCTTATTTTTGTTTTTTTCAAGCCTTGCTCTAGTTTTTTTTTGCAAAATGTGCATTGTAATCATCTTCAGATATTTGCTTTATCTTATACCCGTAACACACATCGCATTCGTCTTTCTTTGGGCGAAAAATCGACAAATTCATCTCTTCAAATACACGGTAAAAAGGGAAAAGTGTGTACGGTTCGATATTGTTCTCCAGACAATTGTCTTTGTATAATTTATAGATCTGAGATTTTGTTTGAAAAGTTTGCTCCAAGTACACTTTAGAACTGTCTTTTCTACAATAATGGGACGGTTGCTTCGGCAATTCATTAAAAAAAGTATTTAGGTGATTTCTCCTTTTTTCGTTTTCACGACTTGCTTCATTATTATTTCCCACTCTTTCTGTTTTTTCTACTATTCCCGAGCTACTTTTTTTTAGCCAACAATGTACCATTTTTTCTTTTAGTCCCAAAGTGCCTAAAGACATTCGTTTGCATACTTTAAGTTTCTCATTATTAACTTTTAATTGGTAAATAAATGTGCCGGATCTTCTAGACGGGCCAGCAGTATAGCTGCGTTTTTTTGGGTTATAATCTACCAAAGAGCAGACATACACTTTTTTCTCGTCCCACGATAAACTCCAAAATTTTGAAAAAAGTTTCTGTGAGTCTTCTATAGATATGGAGCTACAAAATCTTTTGTTTCTTAAACAGTATTCTGACTCACAATGTACTGACTTTCTAGAATCGCGCTGTACGTTATGGCTTACTTTTCCATCTCTGGTTCTAGTGTATCCTAAATAGTTTTCACCTTTCATTCTTTTAACTTTATTCCTCTCCCTTTTCCAATTTTCTGGTTGAGCTCTTTTCGATCTATTTAAGTGGACTGCCTCTTCTGTATTAGTTTCTTCCTGATTTTCGTAAGTAGCATTTTGCGGGGGGCAATGTTTTTTTCAGCATCCGTTTCATCTTCACTGTTTTCATCAGATGGTGCAATATTATAGTCTGGATCATCACTATCAGATAATACTGGAAAATCTACTTCATCTGTAGGCGTAGTTCTAAAATATCCTGTAGATCGACATTCTCTCTCAGTAGCTAAATGTTCTTCATCTGTAGTATTTAATGAAATAAGTCCATTGATATCGACATCAACGATGTCTTTATTTTCAAAGCATTGTAGATCCGTATTGATGTGGGCTGGTAAAACGTTAAGTGGCAAAACACAAGCTTCGGTGTGAACGTTATCTGCACTGGAACAAACGGGTTCAGGATTTGTACTGTTAACTTCTAAAGGCACACATTGTTGGTTATCAATAAAATTTAATTGCTCATTTTCAAAAATAAGTCCTGCATCTACCAAATTTTCTATGTCAAATTCAATATGAGTTCCGGGTTTATGATTTTCAACAACCTTCAAAGTTCGATCAGAGATTGGGTTAACACAAGAAGATTGTAAGATCTCTTTAGGTTTTTGTTCTATTGCTAATTTAACAAGATTCTGGCTTCGAGCTGACATTTTTCTAGAAACAAAAAACATTATTAATTACTCCCATCTATAGCATCGTAAAGCTCAAACTTTTCAAACGCATGTTACTTTTAGTAGCTACTCTTGAATAATACATCTTAATACTAGTTTTGTTCAAAGTAACTAGAAAAGATAATTATCAACCAATTTTAAATTTGTAATACGGGATTTCCTATGTCCCGCCTGGCGATTCAACACCCTGTATCACTTGTCTATTTTAAAAATGAACAATAATTGTTCATTTTTAAAATAGACCAGTGATATTACAGTCTTATTACATTTAATTTAAAAAAAAATGTATATAGTATTGTTTTTAAAGAATTATTCTTTAAAAAACAATACTGTATACATTTTTTTAAATTAAATGTAATAAGACGTATCGCAAAGAATAATACTATAAAGTTTTAATGCAATAGGACGTATCAGCAAAATAGTGTGAAAAACTTACCTGTAGATTATTTTATGCCAAATTTATATTTATTTCACTGCTATCGCACCTCTATATTGTTATAATAAACTTCTTGCACGAAAACGCACTAAAATAACACACCAAAGTCCAATTTACTTTAGCGGCAAAGTACAACGTGTACCCCTGCATAAGAGAAATGTGGTTTACGCGTTATTGCCGCTCAACATATTTTCGTTGCGATACGATATATTACTACAAAACGAAATTCATGGTTCTGATTGGCCCGAGGCTGGCGCGCTTCTGTAAATGCATGTCAAATGGCTCTGTTCACATAGTAACACCAAAAGCGGGGTTTTCAAAAAAATGTGGGTTACGTCCTATTGCAAATAAGCCATCGATATAAGATTCGATTGGTTGCCTTTTCATTGGTTTCGGATCCAAGGTTTAGTGACAATACCGCACACACTGTGTGTAAGCTGTCTTATGTGTATTTATGTTTTATTGAACTATCCAAATCTTCTTAATATAAAAATAATTTTAGTACAATATATCACATTGTACCTATGTAAAGTTCAAAGATTTATTTTTTATTTTTTTAGATAAAAATTGTCTGAATCACAGGTCAATAGGTACTTTGCTTCTACTCATTTACGTTTCATTATTTAATTTTACGATAAAAAAAATACTGACATCATTTTTCTTATCTATGTTTTGTTAAGATTGCGGTTTCTGCATATTTGTCTGGCATCTTTCTAAATAGATATTTTAAATAAAAATGTTTTTATATTGAAAGCTCATATTGTTTCTCGTTTAGAAATATAAACTGCTTCGAAATAGACATGACAATTAATTGTACTTTTTAAAGAAACACTTTGTACATTTTTTTGATGTCTGCTAATGATGTATTAGTGTGATACAACGCTATATTAGTAATGACGTAATTTGTATTTTACTGATTATTTAACACATACATAATCGTTGATAATCCTCTTTTATTCCAACACAGCCAATCAAAACAAACTGTATCTGAAAATACTGAATGGTGCATTTTTTCACTCAATCCTGCGAAACGTCAATGTGAAGTTTGTCAAAAATCGTTTTAGTTGTTCAAATATACTTTCGTTTTCATCTTACAGAAACAAAGTAAATGTTTATAAAAGTTCTATTTATATTGTTAAATAATCTTTCCAAATACCACGCGAGGTAAGAATTTTTTAATAAAATTTTGTCGTTTCCTTACAATATAGGTAAGAGAAATTAATGTTCTTAAAAAATTCTCACCTCTCGTGGTATTCATTTTAGTCCGATATATTTGCCGATATTTTGTTGAAATAAGCACAACACCACTCTCGAGAAAAATTATGGTAAACTGTGGTCTTCGTTATACATCTCTCAACCGAGTGAAACAGAATAATGTGTAAATGAATTTGTTTACTAACATTTTTACAATTAATTCTACTTGGATCCTTGCCAGAAATATTGCTGATGTCGACGTTCTAAAATGTGGATGGATCGATACGTCTTGAACGTACGAAATTTTTATTAATGTATTAGAATCTGATGACAACTACGAGGTTTACGCTACCCCCAAATACCATAAATTTAGACGAATCTGGTGTTCCAACCAGAGATAGGTTTTACATCTGTTTCGAAAGATGGCACATCTCACACTATATATCTTACTCATTGATATAACGCCGGCCAATTGTGTTGTGAAACTACGCCGACAGTTTGTTTGGGCTTCATAGGTTCGCCGACTTTGCCTAAGATAGTCCACGCATCCAAGTAATAACTGCGCGTGGCCTTGCTCAACTGCAGATATC